GGTAAAGCTACTGGACCAGATGAGGTGCCCATCGAATTATTAAAACTCATCGATGAAGATGTTATTGATGTACTGGTTGAACTCTTTAATCTAATATATCAGACTGCCACAATCCCCAGACAATGGCTGCAATCAACCTTTGTAGCAATTCCCAAAAAACCAAGTTCAACAACTTGCTCAGACCACAGAACAATAGCTTTAATGAGTTACACACTTAAAACATTTTTGAAAATAATTCACAGCAGAATTGTTAAAACTCTTGAATATGAGATTAGTGACACACAATTTGGCTTTAGAAATGGTATGAGTACAAGAGATGCTTTGTTCGGCTTGAATGTGCTGGCTCAGAGATGCATGGACATGAATCAGGATATGTACTTATGTTTTGTAGACTTTGAAAAGGCATTTGATAAAGTTCAACATAAAAAGCTTGTAGATATATTAAAAAGCAAAAATATTGACAGTCGTGATCTGAAAATTATATCTAATTTATATTGGAATCAAACTGCCAAGGTAAGAGTTGACAGCCAGTACACCGAAAATATCAAAATACAGAGAGGAGTCCGCCAGGGTTGCGTGCTGTCCCCACTACTTTTCAATGTCTACAGTGAAGCGGTATTTCAAGAAGCGCTCTCAGACTCAATAGAAGGTATATCTATCAATGGAGAAGTTTTGAATAACTTACGTTTTGCAGACGATGCAGTAATAATTACGGATAACAAAAATGATTTACAGAACCTAATGCAACGCCTTAATGAACGCTGTCATGAGTACGGACTGAAGATAAATTTAAAGAAAACTAAATGCATGATCATGACTAAATCTGCACATGCAAATATCCAATTGACTATTGAAGATACTGCAATTGAGAATGTTAATAACTATAAATATTTAGGAACATGGATAACATCAGATGTAGACCAAACCAAAGAAATTAAGACACGTATTGAAATAGCACGTACATCATTTATTAAACTTAAAAAGTTTCTTTGTTGTCGGGATATAAGGTTAGAACTACGCCTGAGAATGCTTCGATGTTACGTGTTCTCTACTCTTCTTTATGGTCTGGAAGCTTGGACACTAAAACAAGTTCATCTGAATAAGCTGGCCGCTTTGAATTTTGGTGTTACAGAAGAATCCTACGAATATCATGGATTCAAAGAATGTCAAACATGGAAGTAACTAGAAGGATAGGAAATGAGGCGGAAATAATATTAACTATTAAAAGACGAAAACTTGAGTACTTGGGACATGTGATGAGAGGGCAAAAATACGCATTATTACAACTTATTATGCAGGGCAAAATCCGAGGAAAGCGAAATGTGGGAAGACGAAGAATATCCTGGCTTAAGAACTTAAGGGAATGGTTTGAATGCAGTAGTGCAGAACTTTTTAGAGCGGCAGTCAACAGAGTCCGCATAGCCATGATGATTTCCAACCTTCGATAGAGGATGGAACTTAGAAGAAGAAGAAGAACAGAAACTACTAGCAAGTAAATACCCATCGATGTTTATGTATCGGAGATCTGCTTCACTCTGCCAGTGCTCTGAGAAGCAAACAACATCGAAGGTAAATTCCAACAAAAATTAACCTATCGTTTGTACTTTATTTGCTAAACCTTGAACATTAACATGGAACATACTCACCAGGCTTTTGCTATTCAAAATATGAATTCGTTTTTCAGGAACTTCTAAACTTCCTATGTCTCGATCTAGATTGTTTCCATTTTTGCAGACTGCTGCATTTCCACTACAGTTATGTAAAGTCCCGTTATGTTTGATTACAAAGGAGTTTCCTTTCAGAGTCTCTGACTATAGTCGGACAGATTTCAATTAAAGGTGACTAATCTACAAATTGAACTAAACGGTAGCGGCAACCATGTAAAATGCCGGTAGTAAATTCTTACAGGGGTCATTTTTATTGCGTATACTTCGCCCATGTAAATAAGCGAAAAAGTAATATAGTCCTCATAACATTTTCCCCCGTAACAATATAAATTGGTGCGGTTCACGAGTGTGTAGTGAGATAAGTTTATTGAATAGTTTAAAACATCCGCAAACATATCAATATTTTGCTGGTCTATATATATTTACGTTCTTAGAAAAAATGTTAATGAGTGAAATATGATATTTTAGTTTATGTTTATTCGTTCCAAATTCTAATGTGCATAGGCGTAGCGTTTTCTATTTCGTGGGAATATTTTTATTAAATAGACTTTATTATTAACTTTAAAATAGTTTTGAGGTAAGTAAAGTAAATTTGCGGCAAATTTATTCTTTATATAGTATTAACCCGTTAACGGCCGGTCAGTATACAAAGAGAAATTTGTCAATTAATTTATTAGGTTGGAATAAAAACACATATATTAAAAAAGGATTGCAATTTACAACAAAAAAGATTTTTTTCTCATTTTCAAGGAAAACTGTACAATTTTTAATACAGGAACGTATTGCATCTTAAATGTAAATTAAATTGTAAGGTGAAAATGTTCGAAACCTTCGGGGTGTAGATGCATTCTACACCTTTTAGATAAATAATAAATAGTAGTACTTTTGCATATCCTACATTCTTACACCATCGTCTCTTTTTGTAATGTGGCCAATTGTCAAATCTGGTAAAGCAAATTTAGATTGAGGTACATGTACGAAGCTTGACAATGATGTAGCGAATCTTCACTATTATAAATGCTTTCTCATAAACTGTGCACTTCTTTATCTTCATCTTTTGACCAATGTATATCAACTTGAAGCAGAGTGTGAATCAGATAATATACGAATATATGTTATTTATTTCAAAATCGTGACGGCTCTTCAAAAGTATAGAATGCTCTCAATCTGCTTTATCAAATGCTTCTATGTAAAGGATAGAAATGCTATCTAAATATAGAATGCTTTTTTATCAAAAAAGAGTGAAAAAACTTTAAAATACATGACTTGACTCCATTGTTGGCTTTTTATATTGTCTAAATATCAATCAGACTGATGTTGAATTACTACTGAGGACAAAGCAGCACGAAGAAGTATCTGTTGTTACAACTTAAGTACAAATTTGGATCTACTATTTTTGACCGGTTTTTCTTTGGACGTTTTATCTGTGGTTCAGAGGAATATCATAATCAGAATTACCAATTATTTGTATTTCATATGTACTTGCAATATCCGATTTTATTGATTCGTCACAAATAATATTATCATTAATGTCTTTTACATAAGACACATTCTTATCTAATCTCGGCGGCAAGTAAAACACTTTAAGTAAGTCAGCATTTTCACAATTTGAGTATTCTTCTAACAAAGCTATTAACTCTTTAGTAGTTAGTGCCATCTTTATTTCATATTTCGAGAATTTACTGAAATAAACAAATGCACTACTATATACACGCATTCACATGATAATAGTTTAGCTTAATTCATTTTAATTTTTATGAACAATATATTTTGATGTTTATATAAACAAATAATATATAAAGTTTACAGGGCACAGCAATTCTATAAATAGAGAATGATGTGTAATCACGAAATCGTATGTTAAAATTTTAAATTGTTTAGTCTAATGAAAAAATAAGTATTTTCCAAAGTTTTCTGTTTTTTGAAGTTCTATGTTAGGTACTCTCTAATAAGAATAAAATTTTACTTTAATTTGTTAGACAACTATAAGATACCTGTCAAAAGACACATGATAATTAAATGATTATATCTGTCTTAAATTAAATTTTTATGTAATTACTTATGTATTTAAATAAATAGTTAAATCAATTCAATTAAAGTTAAAACATAACAAATATAACGTTCATAGCAAACAGCAATTCTATAAATAGAGAATGAAGTGCAACGACGAGATCGTATGTTAAAATTTTAGAGTGTTTAGTCTACTGAAAAAATAAGTATTTTGCAAAGATTTCTGTTTTTTGAAGTACTGTATTAGGTACTCTATAAAAACAATGAAATTTTCCTTTATTTTGTTAAACAACCATTCACTCCGTGCTTGACTGACCTATTACCTTCATCTGAGAGTTTTGGACCTCCCAATTTGAGGTTAAAAATATATTAAATATATACGAAATTGACAATTATGAATAATTAGTTTTTTAATTATATTTTTTCAGTTTATGTATAAAATAAATGTAGTATTTAAAACTGGGTTTCTAAAAAATCATCATAATTTATCTTTGCAACCCCAAACGGAAAAGAAAGGGAAAAATCTAGTACTGGTAAATCAAGATTTTCATGTGGAAGAGCATATAGTTAAAAACAATAGTAGTAAAAGTTATGGTATAAAAGCTAAAGTCATCAGGCAGGCTGCAGTTAGCTTGAAACCTTATGAAATATCATTTAAGGTTATTTATTTAAATTTTTCCTATTTTAATTGCATAAAAATGAAATTATGTGATATTTACTTTTTCATATTAATAGCACGAAATCATCTTTTTCTTTTCTGGAATTTATATGTAATCTTTGGAAACCTATAAAAACTACACTCACTATTTTTGCTATTATTTGCACAATTAAATACGCAACATGTATTTGCACCCATTTTTGATAAAATTTATGCGTAAAAGATAGGTCTAATTTTGTCATATTTCGCCGCTACGCACGCTGGCATTGTTTCAAGGTACCCCTACCATGGTTACGCACGGGGCGAATAAGATACCTGTTAAAAGACACATGATAATTTAATAACTATATCGGTCTAGATTGAATTAATTACTTATTTGTTTAAATAAATAATTAAATTTTCTTTGGTACGCCTCTGCAAAATTGATAAGTGAAATATGATTTCGTTGAAATGTTATCGTTAAGGGCGTAGTTAAGTGCGATGTTGCAAAGTAATCACCTTCAATTAAAAAATGTTTTAGTATAAGTTCAGGGTCCCTCCTTTACGCAAGCTGAGACCGACACGAAAAAAAAAAGTTAGGAGTCGTAAAAATGTTTAAAAAACAAAGCCATAAAAACAGTATAAATCCATGTAGAATAAGTTATGGCTCATGTTTTTATACTCACCTTGGTTTTTGCCCAATGATTCTTAGTACCAAGTCAACAAGTAGTGAGGGAAACATATGGAAGAAAATTACTTCAATGTAAAATCTATAAAAACTTTGTATTATAACCGAAACGGGATACCGTAACATCTGCGAATATGGAACTTCACTAAAAAGTCTGTCCCCAACTTTTGACATTTCTCCAATACTGATATTGGCTATATTGCTATAGGACATATTGTAAACTTCTACAGGATCAGAAGCCCTAAAAAGGTTTATATTAGTTTAAACCAATATGATCTTTAAATATGATAATGTAATATCTATATCATCAATTTCATTTTAGGTAAACTATTAATTATATTTTTACGATTTTGGGAGAAAATGATAGGCAGCTGCCGATATTATTTCACCTGTGAGTGTTTGTTATATGTACAAATTACTTGCTGGGATAGGATTTAAGAGAATATTATGTAAAAAATGTAATTCTTGCAATTTTTTTAATTAAATAGTTGATTTATTAGAAAGGTAACTAATAAACTTCTTAGTGTTTTCACATGCTGAGCGACCCCTTTTTCTTTCAGTTCTTTTCTTATCAAAAGTAGACATACAAGCAGTATAATGCGCTTTTACTGCGACTAAATCAGGAACATTTCTCAAACAAGCTGAAATGTTTTTATAAAAATCATTTATTTTTTCTTCAAACGTCAAATAATGATGACATTACTTATCCTGTCAAAGTTTGATGTCCCCGCCGGCAGCAGTTTTTTCCCATTTCTTTACGGCGGAGGGAAAAATGTTGTAATGGCAACAATATGAAATATGTCACAAAGCAACAATACAAATGTCATTAACAACAATTAAACATCATTTTTATTTATAGTAATATTAAAAGTACAATTAGTTAATGAGGCATTTTCAAAATTGAAACCGTGCAAAAATGTTCCCGACTCTTGATACACATTCATAATTGTTGATGATACTGATGGTCGAGAACAACTTTCAGCAATCATTCCCGATGTTGGCGAATCATGAGGGTTTAAAATTTTTTGAGCATTATCGTTCTTATTTCTTATTGAATCCTCTATATATCCTTCGGCAACCGTGCTTGATTTCCAGCCCTCATGTCGTTTGAGGCATTCTAGATTTCCGCCTCCATCAATTAAAAGTGTTGTGTATGTGTAGAGTAATTGTCTTGATACTTGAACAAAGTCGACGTCATTGTCTTTGCTAAGAGACGCTAATTGTATCCGAACGTCTGCAGTCCCTCCGGTGAGTACCGATCGCACATGGATAGAAATTATTTTCATTCATTAATTTTTAATAAACGAAAATTTCTCTACCCAGATGGGATTCGAACTCACGACCTTTAGGTTTAAAAGTAGGCGCTCTTACCACTGAGCCACAGAGGGGGTTACACTACCTTTATGAATAACATTTTACTGCTCTGTTGTTTTAATCAGCGCTGCTCAACAAGTTATCGTTTATTGGTTTTTAATTTTATTGCAATGTTAATTTTTTAAATTTCTTCTAACATATCGTATAATATAGGTTTACCCAATAATTAAAGTTGTGCATTTACAAGAATATATTATTTGAAAAATAAGGAGTAAATACCATATGTCATAATAATTGTAATCTCAGGAAAAAAGATAGTTAAGATTTTATACACACTTAAAAATTTGTTTAGGAATGTATTTTTTAAATCCACACAATCATTGAAAAATGATTCATGCTGTTTAAAATATTTTTCTCTTAACGACACCGTCATCAACAAAGTAGTTCAAATTCAAACGTCATCATATTTCTCTTCTGTTTATCGTTAAGAATTAATTGATGGTCGTGGGCTGTATTTTTGTGTTTTATTAATTTAACAAAATACATAATCAGCAAAAACCAGTGAATAGGACAAATCGTTTGCTAAAATGAAGAAACAAAAAAGTGTTTCGGGAATTCAATTCAAACTTTGTGGTGTGTTTTAGATAAATGATAAAGTACCTTTGGTCTAATTACTGGACTGCATACTCTCAATAGCTTTGATATTAATTACTTAGACTACATCGCTACTTCAATACAAAAGAGCCACAAACCAAAATTACAGTTTTTACAGGAGAGCTATGCAAAGTTTTGGCCTTTATTTTTTGTTAATTTCTCTTTTATTTTATATCATTTATATACAAGTTAAGTATTGTTAGAAAGGTAAATTTAAATTGTATTTGATATTGTATTCAGATACAACGTAAGTATTTTCCTGAAAGAGACATTAGCAGATGTGTCTCTTTTGTATAAAAAATATTTGTGATATCATTATAAGTATTGAAAATAAAAGGACACATACCAAAGAAATAAAGATTTTAATCAATGTTTTTGTCATTACTTTATGTAGATTTTAGTACAATTATTACAAAAAAAAAGAGATGACAATGTCAGGCTATCAAAAAAAAACAAAAGTTAGTTATAAAGCTAAATAAGTCTTGGTTTCGGAAACATAATAAAAGTCTGTATCTTAAATTACAACTATGTAGTTACTCTCAAGTTACATAGATAGGTAGTGATAACTTGATATCTTGATAAGAAGTCTTATATGAAAATGTGTTAATTTTTTGTTTTTCAATGTGAATTATCTTTATTTCACACCATTTCAACCTATCTCCATCTTCGTTAGTGGTGTAGTTTCCACAAGCAAGTTGTTTGAGATTAAAGAAACTTTCATGGGTCAGTTCTTTCACTGAATAAGGCGACCCTTTTTTCTTTGTAGTTTTTATTAATGTTATATATTGGTCAGGCACATAAATTGGAGAAGACTTCAAAGCTCTGGACACATTTCTTTGAATTGTAGAATGAACCGCATCGCCCTCATTTTGAGTGTGTCCTTTAATTAGAAATTTTTGAGTAACACTCTTCAGTTTTGAGAATGTATTTACGGCATATTGATACATTGCCACCATATATTTATTTTTTTGCTGACCACAGCAATTGTCGCTATAAAACACAACGTCGAAATTATCAGTTGCTTTGTTTTGTAAATATTCCAAATACATAAACACGCACGAACCAATTTCATTTACTCCTCGTGCTCCTTCTCCTTCATGCCATACAAAACAAGTTGTAGCTTTAGAACACAGTTCCGTAATTGTAAAATTAAGTACATTTACTTTAGAAATATAATAAAAACTAGAGACTTCGCCCCGTGGACAAGGCATTACAGCCTGCAAATCATATACTGCAACTATAAAATTCTCAGTAACTTTTTGTTTGTCTTTTTCTTTTCCGGATCTTGAAAGGATTTTCTCTCTCAGGTGGTTTTAATGTTTCGCTTGTATTTTATGGTTGGGTTTCCAAGTTTACTAACATAGGCAGAGTGAAATAAGTGTTTCACTCTGCCTAGGCTCAAGGCTTGCTCCTTGAATCCAATTTCTTGAATTTTCTCAGGTTTATTAGTACTGGTTTTACACCCAACCATGTCGAGGATTCTATGCACTCTTCTAGTCATTCTACAACAAATAAATTGTTGATGTACAATTAACAATATCAGATTTCTCTTTTTATTAGAATTGCACAAGTAAAATATTTTGGTTTTATATAAATACATAAATATAGACTTCAGATATCAGAGCTGGGAACAAATTAATTACAATTAAAAATTATGTACTTTACTTAAAAGTAAAAGTAATTTATTTCCCTATACAGCTGTGATGTGATCGTTATACATATTTTCTTTTTCGAGATAAGAATGTAGGGAATACTTTTCAACTAGGGTATTACGAAGCCTAAACAAGATTAAAATAAAAGACAATCAGTCCCATTAATAATAACTTGATATCCACGGGAAGCGACTTAAAAAGAATATTTTGTTTACGTACGATAAATTCAAGTACCTAAATGATTGCTTGTTACTTACATTATGAACTAATTTGCGGAATAGCAAAATACATATTCATATCATACAATGTCCAAAACAAAATACGATTCACGGTATTTTTTACGCTCTCAATTAAAATTGGAAATAAACACGTTGTGTAATATGATATTCAAACTTCTGAATTATATTAAAATAAGATGTTAGACTATCACAATCATGGACGTATAGTTTATACGTCCATGATCACAATGAATACAATATACAAGTAAATGAAAAAAACTGCATTTTACTTTATAATAACATTTTACTGCCATAAAAAATGCAAAAGAGTCGTATGTATCACAGTATATGGCCATTTTTTAATTTAAATGATATAACAGCTCCGAGAATATCATAAACAAAATGAACATATTCCGTAATACATTCTTTTTGATTAAGAAATAAATAAATAAATATATATAATATATATATATATATATATATATATATATATATATATATATATATGCTAATATTAATAATATACTTATGTGAATCTTCTGTGCAAAACGGACGTACTTCGGAATGTGGCACTTTTGTTTATAAAAACGATAACAACGACTAGGGTTTTTTGAAATGTGGCTGTTTAACACAAAAAAAAACGTGCGATCACTTCGACTGTCAGGACTCAACTAACAAACTGGCGGTTTTGTCCATATTTGTTCTCTCAAATATAAAAATGCAAAAAGGGCGCTAGTGTCATTTCGATATTAAACAACGTAAAATATGTAGGGATTTCAGTGGTATATCAAAATATGACTGCTTAACGTTAGATTTTTTGAATAAACGCTATTTTCGATTTTTTTGATTTGTGGCCCTTTTGTATTGAAGTAGCGACATGTGTTTAAACATTTTGTTTTTCTGAAAACTCGGAAGTGATTTAGAGCCAATTTGTTTCAAGGATATATTTAATACAGTGTCTGCTGAAAGTAAAGTCTTGGATGTATTTTATTCAAATTTGGACATACCAGCAACTTGTCAAGTATTTTCCAATTTAACTGCATGCAAAACCATTCGTATAATTTTTACTCTACGCAAAATAGAGACTTATAGAGACCTTGATGAACATTTGATGTCGAGAAATAATTTCAATTATTCGAAATATTCCGCCCCACATCTTTTAACCGCCCTGTATATACATATTATATTCATTTTATTTGACTTTGATACAGTAAAATCCAATATTATTACTGAACATAAAATACAGGAAATTAAATATTTTTACTTTTTAAACGATTTAAATTAAATATTAACGCCCCATTGTTTGAGGCCCACTGATCATATCTTAATTACATATCGGCCTTCATAGGCTAAAAGGAGTTTAGGACGAAACTCTGGAACAAGGGGAAACCAATTCTATACTGGAACGAAGATCTGACGTAGACGGGGTTGGATTAAGCAGGCAAACGAGCAAAAAAGCTGGTGGGACATCCTATATATGTCTTCAAAATTGTATCATGCTCTGGTACACCACACAAATTATTTTTTCTACTGTCACATATTTCCACTAAAAGGGCCAAAACAGAAGAACACAAATTCGACAGAGAATTTGTGGATCCATACTTGCGATCCACACAGCGAACCAAATAAGAATCTATTTGGTCACACCTGATTGAACCGGCAACCCAAGTACGATTGACGAATTTAAAAATTCGTTCGTATAACTTGAAAATAAACAAAACGCTGATATAGCAGAACACAACGAAATTAAAACGTAAAAGATTGCACTTCTACAACGTATAAAAATTATAATGCGTCTTCGAATAAAACATTAAAAGGAATTGCCGAAAAAGTTAAAGTAATAAAAATCTAAAATGGTTTATTTTAACATCTCGCAATGCAAATACAATTATGGAAAACATTTTTGCGTATTTTAACTTGAAAAATACGAACTAACAAACACTGAAAAAATTCTTCGTTTTATTTTTTAAACATATATAAGGCGATTTCCATATATTTTATATACGAGGAGATTTCAATATACTTCAAAGAATCAATGAAATCGGAAATGCCACAGTTTTAGGGAGACAAAAATATACATACTTTTTTATTCCCTGTGATTCGCTTGCCAATATTATTCCTTTTATAACGAAGTCGGCTGGTATATAATCTACTCTGTTATCTTTATTTCCTAAAATTACCCTTATGATTCCTGTAGAAGAAAATATTTTTTAATGATTTTAAATAAAAAGTTAATTACAAAATTTTCTTTGTAATAAAAGCATAAAATTTATGATGAAAATACACTGGAGCTTTTATTTTTGTTCTGAAGCTATTTTCTTGTGGGATTGTAATGCAATTACTATTTCTATTAGAATCATCCACAATTTAAGTTAAAAATAAGTTTATTTTTGACGTTTCACATTCCAATTTTTTCCAAATAAAAAAATTTTTTTTGTTATTTTCTAAAAAATTTTTTAAATAATTTAATTGTATATGACTGATTGATATTTTGACAATTTATAAATATATTATATATTTTAAAGTAGACTACTTTGAACTGATTTTGCCAATGTTGTTAAGTTGCGTTCCTGGAAAGACTTCATTGTAAGATTACATTGCTTGAGAATTGAAATCAACTTTAACTTGAGAATAAACTTTAGAAAAATCATAGCATGTAATTCGACTGAAAGTCTGGCTAATTGGCTCTGCCAAAGCCATTTTTCAAAAAAAAATAGAAATAAACTAATATATATATATATATATATATATATATATATATATATATATATATATATATATATATATCGGAAAAAGGAGTACGACCGTCAATCCAATATATATAAGGATCACTCAGACGAGTGGTGGGTTCTTATATCGGTCTCTAGGTGGAGAAATAAAAGACAAAGTTGATAGGCTACTTTATCTATTTTGAAGACGTTTCGCTTTCGAGTTTTGAAAGCATCATCAGTTCATCTAAAAAAGTACAATATGAGAACCACACAATCATGGAAACGATGTTAATTGTTACCTTAAAAAGACATGTAGCAGTCAATGTTATTAACAATAATGTGAATGAAACTAAGTAAATCGACATAATACGCTGATTTTGTATAAACAATTAAGTAACTAACAACATATATGAACTTATAAAATTAGCACAGCAAATGACCATGTGGTCTAAAGTAAATTAAATGTTATTTAATGTTAATTAGTGAGCAAGAACCAAGAAAATCATAGATAATTTCCAACTATTTTATGATTATTAAGCTTTGATTTTAACTTTGGGTAGCATTATAAGTGATATTAATAAAAATTATAAAAGTAGTGTAAATGAAGTTACCGATCAAAGCCCTACAAGTGTCGCCGGAAAAATGGCGTTAGATGAACCGGAATGAACTAAACCGCGAAAAGACAGCCAACCTTGGGGTTAAAATACTTTTGACAGATCAGCAAGGTGGAGGTACCAACCCAAATAATTGGGCGGTCAATTTAAAAGTTTAAATGAGTTTGGATGACTACCCGGTTGTAAAAGACAAAACAGTGAAAGAAACTGGTATTGTAATAGCAACTCCTCTCACTAATCAGCCCAGATTTACAAACAGGAGATTTTCATTCAACCTCATATGTATGTAATAACGTTAATCATTATGGCTAGTTAATCAGCCACAGGTGGTTAACGACCCATTAATTTCCGACAGCCCAAGGTTCATGTACTTGGAACTGTGATTTGCAAAGGATTCTATGAATCAATTACAATATTTGTATTATTTTATTTAAGTATAAAATTGTTCACACTAATCAAAGTAATCAGTGTATGAAAATGCAGTGTAAGTTGCATATGTAATAGTAAGTTAAGTAAAGAATATTAAATTATTTTATTTAGTTATTTTATGTATTTTATTTCTATTTTATGTATCTATAATCTATAAATTATTTCATGAAAATGGAAAAAGGTTCAAGTAGTACACCTAATATGACATTTAATATAGTGAAGAGATCAAGAAGCCTAATTCTGCAAAATTAAAGCATGATATATTTGGCTCAAGTTACTTATGTCAGTTCTCTTATTCAAAGCATTAGGGTGTTTTAGTATTGAACACATTTCCAAAAACTGTCTTTAAGCTAGATTGCGTTCAGTGGCAAGGATCTTAACTTCATTGAAATCCACTTCATGTTTGGTAGTTATCGCGTGTTGTGCCAGGGCACAAGTGTGTTTTGATAAATTAATGTCACTACGATGTGAAGTGAGACGACCTTTTAATGATCTACCAGTTTGACCAATGTAACATAAATCGCAATTAGCGCATGGAATTTTATAAATTGTGTTAACTTGTTCCAAAGTGGACAAGGGTGTTTTAGTTTTATATATATATATATATATATATATATATATATATATATATATATATATATATATATATATAGAAGACATTTACTACAATATATTACCTAGTCCTGTAGCAGTAATTAGTCCAATCGGTCCATTATAATTATCGGTATATCCTTGAATTGGTTCGGATAGTGTGTTAATTACTGCAAGAAAAAAAAACTGTTACAAAAAACAGAAATATGTGGTTTTTAAGGTACTACTCTAAAGTGACTCAATTCGTACTTGGAAGGCAGATGCCAGTATCAATCAATGAGCGCTACTCTAGTAATATCTTTATTAGTTGTGGCGTACGTAGAGGCTCTGTTCTCTATTTTGGGTCCTATATCTGTCTTGATATATTTAATGACATAATTAGAACATTAATGACTGGATTACTATATTTGCAGACGACACCACAATTTTATGGCAAAACACAGATTCTGAGGTACTGTAAATTTGAGTAACATACTGTATATTTAAGCAAAATATCTCGTCGGGTTGCTTTGCTGTCAAATCAGTTGCATACTACTTAGATTTCAAGTTTGCAAAAGTGTTTATGTGGCCTTAATTAAATTTAGTTTGAGATATTAGGTATTACATTTTTGAGGTATTTTTTCTATCATCATTTCTGCTGACTTTTTATGCTACAAAAAATAGCACTCAGATATTTATGCAAGGTCAAATTTGGTACAACATGCAGACCTTTGTTCCGAAAACATGGTATCGTTGCCTATGTATCCATGAAATAGCGCGCTTAATTTTAAAAAAACCTAAAACGGCTATTTGTATAGGTTTCTTTTGTAACACTCGTCTAACTTTTGTTATTTAACTTCCAATTCCCTCTTCTACATTAATTAAAAAATCATTTATTTACATTGCAAAAAGTGCTTAATCACCTACAACCCGATGTAAAATCCACAAGGAACGTCTTTGTATTCTACATTTGCTATAGATTGCTATAGAGCAATCAAACAGTTTTTATTATCCAAGTGTTACTATAATATCGAGGAATTTTTTGAGGATAGTTGCGTTCATTGATACCTTTGTTACTATAAACATTTTATAATTAGTATTTTAATGAATGTAACTCATTTTAGAAGCAATAAATTTCTCCCCCTCTCTCTCTCTCTCTCTCTCTCTCTCTCTCTCTCTCTCTATCATAGCTTTCCGATAAAAATGTGTTACATTACTAACCCTCCTTATAAAATTTGTTACAGTATTTAAGCTTATAACCTTATGACCAACTTTCTAACCTTGTGGGATAATAAAAAAGTCCAAAATTTTTGAGTTATAAAATATGACTTAAAAGTTGTTCTTATATAACATGTACTTCGTTAAAACTCCATATAAGTTAAAGACCAAAGAGGACGTTTCATAAGGAATAAATATATGAGTAAAAAATAGAAGGCTGTACTCCAGGAGTTACCGAGAAGGGAAAGCATAGATTTTTTAACTTCTATGCACGGAACGAGGGTTTTTAACTGAATTTATTTGATTTGCTTGAATTGATTCAATTATAATCGATTCGATTCGAGCCTAATCGATTCGACTCGATTCCAATCGATTTGATTCGATTTCAATAGATTGGATCCGATTCTCCTAACTATTCGGTCTGATTTGAGTTAATTTTAATCAATTCAATGCGATTCCAATCGATTTGATTCGATTCACTTCGATTTCAAACCATTTCATTTAATTCCAATCAATTCGATTTCAAACGAATCTATTCAAGTTTATTTTATTTTAATTTAATTTAATTTATTTTAATTTTATTTTATTTATTTTATTTTATTTTATTTTATTTTATTTTATTTTATTTTATTTTATTTTATTTTATTTTATTTTATTTTATTTTATTTTATTTTATTTTATTTTATTTTATTTTATTTTATTTTATTTTATTTTATTTTATTTTATTTTATTTTATTTTATTTTATTTTATTTTATTTTATTTTATTTTAATTTTATTTTATTTTATTTTATTTTATTTTATTTAATTTAATTTAATTTAATTTTATTTTATTTTATTTTATTTTATTTTATTTTATTTTATTTTATTTTATTTTATTTTATTTTTATTTTATTTTATTTTATTTTATTTTATTTTATTTTATTTTATTTTATTTTATTTTATTTTATTTTATTTTAATAATTTATTTTATCTTATTTTATCAATAACGACGTGTGGTCGCGTGATATACCGTTACAGTGCCTACTATCGTTACCATTACTACTGTCGCTACAGTCGTTACAGTCGGTTTTATTTTTTCCACACCTCTGTGCGATTCACCGCTCCGTTCGTAGCCCGCAATAAGAAAGCTATGCTTCGAAAAAACAATAAATATTACCTACCTACAGATGGCCTTGTTATTACAGCTGGTATCTTTCCTTGACACAAATCATTAACAACCTGTTCTCCTAAAGATTTTGCAAATGTGTATGTATTGGGCAATGGAGAAATATATTTTTGAGATAAAATCTCTAATGTCAGTTGATCACATTCTTCGGCTAACATAATAGCATCCCTCCAGTTTGTATGGGCTGGATAAAGTTTTTCTTCTACTACAAGTTTATCAGCGTTGCAATAAGCTGTTGATACGTGTACGAATATTGAAATATTCTTTAAATCCAGGGCTAATTTTGTAACCTCTCTCGTTCCTCGAACATTTAAAATGATGGCATCTTTTAAGAAGTCATCAAAACGGACTGATGCTGCTGAATGGTATATTATATTTACAGTGTTAACTAGTAACTCACGATCTTCTCTGTTTATACCTAAAATTAGCAATAATTGCATTACCAGTTTATCTTTAGAGAAAAAGATACCTACTTGCTAATATCTCCCAATAATTTATTTATCACAAAAAGTAGGAGAATTTATATAAAACAAAATCTCTTATTTACAGTGGGAGACTAATGCTAAGACTAAAACAGACATTTGTCTGTTTCGACAGAGTGCATTTTTCAAGTGATCTATCTGCAAGCAAGCCAGCAATTTAAGTAAACGTTCGGGTGTAACAATTCATTGGAGCGAGGTGTATTAACTGGAGTTAAAAACAGGAGTCATTCCACCGCGCTCCAATGCTCTAGACCATCCCTTTCCCCCCATATAGTACTCTGATGCGTGATAGGGGTACAACTATCAGGCAAATGCTCTTCATATGGGAGTTCTGGATAATATAACTCCAACATGGTTTCCTAACCTATTCAAATTCAGGACAATGTGATACGCTTTGTTTCTGAAATTCTCTAGTGACTTTTCCGAGAATCTAAAAAATAGTGATTTATCTATGGTAAGCATTTACAGTTTATAGTCTTTAGCTGAATAAGTTGGAGAGGGGAGAACTGTTTGTCTCAAGTCATTCAGAATAATGTCTGCATTTTTTATTTTGTTAATTTCCATAGATAAATATAGCTTAAGGCTTTATTTTGAATGTGAAGAATTTGAAATTGATTTGAAATTGGTCAACAATGATTATAATCTACATAGAAAGTAAAGTGCGTACGTATATTTTGATTTTCTATTCTGTGTTCTGCTATACGTTTGTTAAAATGTTACCAGTTTAACCGATGTAAGTTTTTAGGCAGTCGCCACAATTAAGTTTGAATACACCACTGAAGTGTTTTTTTTTTTGGCTCTTGTTGTTCTTAATATATTTGCTAAGTCGTTGTTTGTTCTGATCATTCTATTGTCGGCTAAAAAAAAAGACAACTGCACATAAAAACAATTTGATCAACTTAAAATAACAGAGGACATTACAGATCAAAAGAAGACGATTGAACTATTTTAAAAGTGACAGAGTACATTGGGCAAGTGGCGCAATGCTTACTCGATAAAAGTGACGATAGAAATCAGGGAAATGGGAATGGTAGAAGCTTACAGTGCCATTACTATTTATATATACTGTTTAAATAAAGGATTTTTTTTTGTTTTTTTTTGTCTTTTAATTTTTGTCAAATATAGATTGTTCTAAAAAAAAATGTTCCACAATTTACCTGCTTGCAGTATAATAAAAATGTACTTATAAATATCACAAACCTAAATTTAATTCCGAAACGTCGCCTTTAATTGGGATAAGTTTCTTAAGTGAATCTGGATTTTGATGACGCAATGGATTAAATACCTGAAATTAAGAAATTAAGAATAATATTGTTATTCGAAATGTAATATTATTTCAGTTGAAAATACTGTTCCGTGAGATTTGTCCCATATAGAAAAAGTCCCATTACGAAAAATAAGAAGTATTAAAAAAAAAATAGAACAGAAAGTGTCATCAAAAAATCCCGAATAATCAATTAATATCTGAAACGTCAGAAAATCTATATAAACACAGGAACTTGACAGTTTAAGTAGCAATAGTAATTGGGCTATAACAATTACTGAAAGATACCGAAATTTAATCAAGATAACTGAAACACTACCTGGAGCAGATGTCTCCTCAGATCATAACATATTAATCAGCAACAGACATCAAATCGAATTTAAAAAAGTAAAACGCCAAAAATTGGCTAACCGAATAAACACCAACTGTATTTGAGCCCTCGAGCAAAAAGACAAAAGAGGAAATGTAAAGGTAGTGGGGGCAAAAATATTGTTAGACAGGAAGTGTCATCTTGAGAGGCCACATTAAACAAGGAAAGAGAGTCTCTCTCCTTGTTTAAGAAATCAAATTTAGTTGGGTTATGTTATTGTTTGTCCCAACTCTCACATGAAATCTTATTTATATAGAAGTTTATTAACAATAATTATGTCACATTTTAGACTATTATCGTTCATATTTATTTAAAGTTTCTCGTCTAAGACACATTATGAAAACTATTTTATAGCTGCCGTTAATAAGTGTCGAAAAATTTAAATTTAGCGCATTCGCATTTCCGGATATGTCCGCCATCAGAGGCCACTTTTTTGGCCTCCTTTTCATAACGATTAGATTCTCTCTTTTATCGTTTTGCTAGATGATTTGAGCTAATAGCTAAACATACACGACATACAGGGTGATTGATTAGTGTGAGGAAGCTTAGTAGATCTGTTATAGTGAAAATTACAAAAAAAAGTTATTGACAAAAATTGTAGGCAGCTTTAAACTCCACATTTTTAAATTGGTTACTATCCTTCTAGTAACTAAATCTACTAAATCTGCTTCACTTCCACATCACAACAATGTAAAGTTTTATTATGTTATACCGGGTATTTAAAAAGTTATAACCAATATAATCTGAAAATCGTATCAAGTTTAACTCCCTGTATAATTAAAAAGGATAATAGTAACATTGATCTATTACAACCATAGTTTTTTAATAATTGTTAAAAATTATAAAACATATTGGTTTTCATAATATTCGTTAAATCAAATACAGGGTAAGTCAAAATGCAAGTACATTATTTTCTTAGTCATTTTAAATAAAACACCCTGTGTTTTATATCACTATCGAAAAGTACTAATATCGTACTTCAAATTTTATGAAGTACTCCCTATACCTAAAGATATTAGTTTTCTAGATATTTTTATTTTTTCATCAAAGTATTAATTTGGTAGATATTTTAACGTTTACCAATAATTATTGTGAGTTGGCGATGGTTGATTTGTCAGAAACTGACAGTTTGACATTATTGTTTATTAATTCAATAACGAAATAACGACACAGAAAAGAAAACAGTTTATTTCAAATAAAATTTATAAAAAATAACCGACAGAGAATTAAAAAAAATAACAACACAAAAAAATAAAAAACAACAGTAATTTTAACTTATCTGACCCAAACTTATCTTACCCCAAATCTTAACCCCAAAAAAATGAATCCGTTTTATTGAATTCTGGTGATCTTGGGGGCCACCTTACTGGTCCATCCCTTCCGATCCATTTTTCATCAAACTCATCATTAAGTTCACCACGTACTAATTCGTTGTGGTGAGCAGGAGCACCGTCATGTAGAAACCACATTTTTTCACGTATATTAAGTGGAACATCTAATAATATCGGTAACGGATTTACGATAAAATCTAAATAAATCTCACCGTTTAAGTTATCTTCAAAAAAATATGGTCCTACTACATGGTTACCGACGATACCTCCCCACTCATTTAGAGACCATCTTATTTGCCTATGTGTTACTATGTGGTATGGAAAACTTGTTGAATAGTAGTGAAAGTTATGCCTATTACCAGAACCGTTTCGATGGAATGTAGCTTCATTACCAAATAAAACATAATCAAAAAATCTCTCAGCTCATTAATTTTTTCTAAGGCACAAAATACTATTCGTTTCTGAAAATCATCATTAATTAATTCTTGGTGCTTTTGAATATGATAAGGATGCATCTTGTTTTTAGATAGAATGTTTTGAACAGAGTAGTAACTAAGTTCTTGTTCATTGGAAATACTCCTTATACTTGTATGTGGGTTTTCTGTAATTACCATAAACACACTCATTTAGTTTTCCTCTATTTCACTAGTTTTTATTCGTTCATGTTTTTCATAATTCACTGAACCAGTGCGGTTCTTCGAACTTTCAATTTTTCAAATGTATCTTGTCTAGGTTGCCGCCTGTCTGGAAACCGTTCTTGATAAATTCTATCTCATAGTAATGGATTTTTATTGCATTCCCCCAATATCCAGATCATATCTACTATTTCATCAGTAGTAAAATTCATGATTGCTAAATTAAATTGAATTAATTACTGAATTACTAAATAATAATTGTTGCTAATTTACGGTGTACTCCAATACTGAATTAATAAACAATAATGTCAAACTGTCAGTTTCTGACAAATCAATCATGACCAACTCACAATAATATTGGTAAACGTTAAAATATCAACCAAATTAATACTTTGATGGAAAAATAAAAATATCTAGAAAACTGATAACTTTAGGTATAGGGAGTACTCCATAAAATTTCAAGAACTATAGTAGTATGAAATCGTAGGCTTCCACGGCCAGAGTCAGAATTATAGTTTATTCGTCTTCCGGGTTTGGACCGTGTCATTTGTGAGTGACCCAAAAGTGGGTTCATCTCGACGTTTCGCTACAATTGTATGTAGCTTCTTCAGTAGAACAAAGAAAAAGAAGACAGGAAGATGGGTAGTTAGCAACGGTAACTCAGTTACTCAACGCAACCAGAGGCGAATACTAACTACCAAGATGGGCATTTGGTCACAGCAACTCAACTACTCCACGCAGCCAGAGGTGAAAACCAAATGCCGGGATAGGGATTCACGTCCAACAGCTCAGAACACTAACGCGTCGAGAGGTGGGGAGTGAATCCGACGATTACTCCGCTACCGCTCTATTTATAGTCGCGGTGACCTGTCGTGTCGGGACGTATCGGCACACTCCGTGGCGCGAACGTCAAGAAGCGCGCGCTGACCAATAATGTGGCTGCATCGTGGTAGCGGGACCGGACGGCGGCTCTAGACTGAGATTCCAGATGGGAGAGAAGTACTTGTCTCTAACCTGTCTCCCATCTGGAATCTCAGTCTAGAGTCGCCGTCCGGTCCCGCTACCACGATGCAGCCACATTATTGGCCAGCGCGCGCTTCTTGATGTTCGCGCTACGGAGTGTGCCGATACGTCCCGACACGACAGGTCACCGCGACTATAAATAGAGCGGTAGCGGAGTAATCGTCGGATTCACTCCCCACCTCTCGACGCGTTAGTGTTCTGAGCTGTTGGACGTGAATCCCTGTCCCGGCATTTGGTTTTCACCTCTGACTGCGTGGAGTAGTTAAGTTACTGTGACCAAATGCCCATCTTGGTAGTTAGTATTCGCCTCTGGTTGCGTTGAGTAACTGAGTTACCGTTGCTAACTACCCATCTTCCTGTCTTTTTTTTCTTTTTTCTTTGTTCTCCTGAAGAAGCTACATACAATTGTAGCGAAACGTCGAGATGAACCCACTTTTGGGTCACTCACAAATGACACGGTCCAAACCCGGAAGGCGAATAAACTATAACTATAGTAGTACTTTTCGATAGTGACATAAAATACATGGTGTTCTATTTAAAATAGTCAAGAAAATAATATACTTGCATTTTGACTTACCCTGTATTTGTTTTAACGAATATTATGAAAACGAATATGTTTTATAATTTTTAACAATTATTAAAAAACTATGGTTGTAATAGATCAATGTTACTATTATCCTTTTTAATTATACAGTGAGTTAAACTTGATACGATTTTCAGATAATATTGGTTATAACTTTTTAAATACCCAGTATAACGTAATAAAAATTTACATTGTTGTGATGTGGAATTGAAGCAGCTTTCAAATTTAAAATAAAATATAGGGTGTTCTATTAAAAAAAAAAAAATAAGTTTGGTCTTCCACCATCTTACGGAACACCCTGTAAGATTGTAACTAATTTTAAAATGTGGAGTTTAAAGCTGCCTACAATTTTTGTCAATAACTTTTTTTTGTAACTTTAACTATAACAAATCTACTGAGCTTCCTCACACTAATCAATCACCCAGAAATTGACCCTGAAATTATATTTACTATAAAGAAGAAAAAAATTGAGTTCCGTGGTCCCGTTTCCAGAGGCAGAAGACCTAAGTTTCTACAGCTTACAATGCAAGAAAACAGAATTTGATGAAGAAGCGTGGGACGTACAAGAATTATTGGCTGCAAAACCTTCGTCAATGGTTCGGAATTACTTCAGTGGAATTGTTCGTCCAGCAGTTTCGAGATTGCCAATAGCCATGTTAATCAGCAATCTCCACAGAAGATGTTGAATACAAGAAAATAAACTTCCAGTAAAATTTTTAGATAATTATACAACAAATCAAGAGCAAAAGCAAAATATTAAAGCTTATTAAATCATACCGTGATAATTGTTATAATGTCCCTAAAGATGAATGATCAGAAATTACTTACCGGTGACTCGATAAGTTTTTCAAGGCGTTCTTCAATTGATCTTCCTCTTTTTGGTCTTAACAAAACATAGATTTTGCCGATACCGGGACAAGATCTGAGTAGCTTTTCTATCAGCAGTTTTCCTAAAAATCCACTGCCTCCAGTAATGAATACATTTTTGTCTATAAAAAAGTCTGCTACAGGCATTTTTTCTGCAAATTCTAAAAATATGAAGTAAATCAAATATTTTTCAAATATTTATCTAAAATTAAAAACTATGATTGATGTCATAAAAAACAGGTAGATAATATTTCTATTAACTGTTTTTATAAAAGTCATATCCGATTCTATACAAACACTATTTCAATGGTGTTTATTTTACGACCAATTCGAAGCACATTTTTTTGTTTGTTTATTCTTCCATTTCCAATTTCATCCTATATCCGCATTTTCATCACATCAATATTGTTAAATCTCTTATAATTTGTTTAAATGTCTCTTTTACTAAAGACGTAGTAAGACATAAAATCAGTGTTTCAAATAGCGTACTGCTAATTTTTGGTATTATTTAAAAAAATTAACTGCAGGTCTTTTAGACTTAGAGCTGTACTGGATTTTGCTCGTGGTCGGGAATATGGACAAGCTATACGAGGATACGTTGGATTAGTTCTGTGGAAAGATGGCAAAAGCATCTATGTCAACATTTTTATATTTTTATACCAACATATTCGTAGTGATGATATCTAGAAGATGGCAAAATAAGGTATGTTGCAGATGTTTATACCATATAACAGAGTTTCCCAAACTTATCTAAACCGCGACCCCTTTTTGCTAAAAAAATTGTTCGCGACCCCTCAATTTCCCCCCACTCATTTATTCAATATTATTTGACAAAAATAGCGTGCCTAATTTACAATTATCTGATGGTTTCTCAAAATTAATTTTAAAATAAATAATAAGAAGTCGACTGCACATTGTACACTGCGACATATTAGCTTATGTCTACATCGCAAAACTCTTCCATGATAATCGCGAAAGTGCTCGCTACTAGATGGCACTCTGGAACGTTCTCGTAGCCTCGTTTTGGCTTTATATAAGCGGCGATGCGCAACGAAACCTCAGTTCGAATCCAAACAGCCTATGGTGGCGAACGCGGTGTTGAGTAATGAGTAAATATTTTACGACTTACGTATTCACGTTTACGTATTTACGTCTACGATAAATTATAAATTATGGATAAGTTTTTAAAAAGAAGTGCAGAACCATCTACGTCTGAAAGTGGCAGTAGTAGCAATAAAAAGAAAAACAGGTTATGCATTGATGAATATCATAATTATGGTTTTACCGTTATTTCCAATAAACCACAATGTGTTATTTGTGGACAAGTCTTGTCAAAAGAAAGCATGAAGCCATCAAAGTTACTTCGACATTTAAATAGCAAACATCCAGATAAAAAAGACAAGCCCGTGGAATTCTTTGAAAGAAAGCTGAACGTCCTTCACAAACAACAAGACAGTTTTCCCTTGGCAACCACTACTAATGAAAAAGCATTAATAGCAAGTTATAAAGTTGCTAAGTTGCTTATCGTGTTACCAAAACTAGTAATCCGCACACAATTGCTGAAAATCTGATTTTTCCAGCAGCTGTTGAAATGGTACATATAATTTGTGGGGAAAGAGAGTCTGCAAAATTAAATACAATACCTCTGTCAAATAATACTATCCAAAGAAGAATTAGTGATATGGCAGAAGATATTCAAGCGCAAGTTGTGGAAAATCTTAATAAAGGCACGTACTTCTCTCTTCAAATGGACGAATCCACAGATATATCTAACTGTGCCCAATTCATTACATTTGTAAGATATGATAGAAATAATGGCATTCCAGAAGATATTTTATTTGGTTCCCCATTGGAGACCAATACCACTGGAAAATATTTACTCGACACTTTTGTGAAACGTACAAGTAAATATGATATTGACTGGAGTAAATTTATTGCTATATGCATAGATGGCGGTAAAGCTATGCAGGATATAAATCTGGTCTTGGTCGCCTATAATGCCACACCAAATACTCAATTTAAACTCATGCTGAAAATATCTAGCTTTAATAGCATGCGGGTTTTCTTCTTCCCAATAATGACTATTTCATAACATAATATTCTTAATAAAGTGTCTGTCATTGCGATATTTATTCAGAATACGTTGGCAAAACTGTAACCGTCGTAACAGGAGTGAAGTGATAAGGATGGAGGTTCTCTTTTTTTTAAATTCTAACAATAGACGACTGACTTACTCCTGTTGCTGCTGATAGAAGTCGTGAACTTATTTCAGGATTTTCATCTACTCGAACCAAAAGTTCATCTTCTTGATTATGTGTGATTTGTTTCGGTCGATCACCCCGATTTTTAGTGTGAAATGACCCAGTTTCACCTAAACTACGATATAATCTTGCAAAAGTTTTGTGATTTGGTTGCCCTCGGTTTGCGTATAACATTCTATTCCTTCTGGCTGCCGAGCGACCGCAAAAATTTTCTTGTGCGTATACGCAAATTATATCTCGCATTTCTTCATTAGTAAAATAATTGTGACGAGGCATTTCAATTAAAAAAGTAATGATTACTTTTAAAAAATTCAACATTACTCTACACTGTCACATCAAAAATAATTTATCTGAACAAATGACATTTACCAACAACAATTATCTGGCAGTCCAAAGCATACTTTTCATAAATGAAATAATATTTGAAATCTTTTTTTAAAACTCTAAGCAGTTCGACTGCGTTTTTATCGAAAACGGTTGAAATTATCATGTTAAAACAGGAGTACCAATTTTACGTAAAAATGATGTTTACGTCATATTTTCTAATAAAAATTACTAAAATGTTTCATCAAAAAAAGTTTAGACTCAATTTGATCATTAGGAATGATCCACGTGGTGCCCTCTATGACAAAACGTAAAATTGTAAATAAAATACTATTTCTTGTCCAAGATCTGTGCCAATTTTGATAGCAATTTATAAATATACAGGGAAACTATTAGCAAAAAACGAAAAACAAAAATTAACTTTAACACCCTGTATCTTTTTTCTCATCAACATTTTATTGAGGCATATTTGGCCCAATAGCCATATTTTGGTCCAAATAACCTGTCCTTAGTCTATGTCCCAATAGTTATGACTCACCCTGTATAGAAAAGCTACTTACCACTGTGTTGAAATAATTGCTTTTGATTTGGGTTTCGTTTTCTCTAGACGCCAGGAGTTATAAATATATTAATGCACTTAATTCACTGAATGTACAAGCCATAATGATAACTAAAGTTCTCTATTTATGAATAATTGAATAAATGCACTATTGTGAGGTAATTTATCTAATATTAAAAATGTCAGTTAAGCGTTATTCTATTGTAAATACAATTGCTACTTAATTCAAAATTCATGACTTTACATTTTTGAGTTAAGATTGTTAAAATGTATTTGATTAAAGTATAAATGCAACACATTTTTAGCTTAGTGTGTAGACCATCATTCTAAATTATTTTATTTTATGAGAAAGGCAGCAAATATTTGATTTCACGCAAACAAATCCTATGTATCTCTTGATACGTATTTCGACCTAATAGGTCTCGTCAGAAGAGCCATTCATAGGGTTTCTCAACGTGAAAAATCAATATTTTCTGCCTTTTAAGAAGCAACAATAACATGGCTGCAATACGGACGCAATAGCGACATCTAATTACAAAAATCGTAAAATTGAATTGTGTTTCGAAACTATTTTACGATTATTTTATTTTATTTTTTCACATCTTCAGATGTTAGATTGTTACCTCGAAATAATTAGAAATAAACTGCCTCTTTTTCATTGTGAAGGTATTTTACTGCAGCTAATAAGATGGTGGTATTATTGACTGTTGATATAAATATCAAGTAATTATTCTTGAGGATGCACAAGACAAAGAAAACTCTTTAAAACTTTAAAAATGACTAGTAATTAAGAAAATTAATAATTATAACTAAATATTTTTTATATTTATTTGTTAACATATGTTCACTCACAGATTATTCCCTTAATTTGTCTTCTTCTTCTTTAAGTTCCATCTTCTGTCGAATGTTGGAAATCATCATGGCTATGCGGACTCTGTTGATTGCCGCTCTAAAAAGTTCTGTACTACTGCATTCAAATCATTCCCTTAAGTTTTTAAGCCAGGATATTCTTCGTCTTCCAACATTTCTCTTTCCTCGAATTTTTCCTTGCATAATAAGTTGTAATAATGCATATTTTTGCCCTCCCATCACATGTCTTAAGTACTCAAGTTTTTGTCTTTTAATAGTTTTTATTATTTCTGACTCATTTCCTACCCTTCTAGTTACTTCCACGTTTGATCTTCTTTGAATCCATGATATTCGGAGGATTCTTTTGTAACACAAAAATTCAAAGGCTGCCAACTTATTCAGATGGACTTGTTTTAGTGTCCACGCTTTATATCCCGACAACAAAGAAACTTTTTAAGTTTAATGAATGATGCACGTGCTATTTCAATACGTGTCTTAATTTCTTTGGTTTGGTCTACATCTGATGTTATTCATGTTCCTAAGTATTTATAGTTATTAACACTCTCAATTGCAGTATCTTCAATAGTCAATTGGATTTAGTTTTCTTTAAATTTATCTTCAGTCCATACTCATGACAGCGTTCATTAAGGCGTTGCATTACGTTCTGTAAATCATTGTTGTTTCTTCTTCTCATGACGCCATCTCCTTTCGAAGGTTGGCGATCCAAATGGCAATTGTGGTTTTGGAAACTGCTGCGCGAAAGATTTCTGCGGATGATCGGTCGAACCATCTCCTCAGGTCCTTCAGTCATGAGTTCTGGCGTCTTACTACTGATCTTTTGCCCTGTACTTTTCCTCCCAGTATAACTTGAAGTAATTCATATTTTTCGCCTCTCAACACATGACACAAGTATTGCATTTTCCTTTCTTTGATTTTTCTTAGTAAATCTTTTTGTTTACACATTCGACGAAGTACCTCAACATTAGTAACTCTTTGTACCCATGGAATTCTCAATATTCGTCTGTATATATACATCTCAAAGGCGTTGTTGTTATTGGTCATTATTACTGTATCGTCTGCAAAACGTAAGTTATTCAAAACTTCTCCATTGATAGATATACCTTCTATTGAGTCTGAGAGCGCTTCTTGAAATACCGCTTTACTGTATACATTGAAAAGTAGTGGGGCAGCACGCAACCCTGGCCGACTCCTCTCTGTATTTAAATATTTTGGGTGTACTGGCTGTCAACTCTTGCCTTTGCAGTTTGATTTCAATATAAATTAGATATAATTTTCATATCACGACTGTCAATATTTTTGCTTTTTATATATCAACAATATTTTTGTGTTGAACCTTATCAAATGCCTTTTCAAAGTCCACAAAATATAAGTACATGTACTGATTCATTTCCATGCATCTCTGAGCCAGCACATTCAAGCCGAACAAAGCATCTCTTGCACTCATACCATTTCTAAAGCCAAATTGTGTGTCACTAATTTCATATTCAAGAGTTTTAACAATTCTGCTGTGAATTATTTTCACTGCTGTGAAGTGTGTGACTCATTAAAGCTATTGTTCTGTGATCTGAGTAAGTTGTTGCACTTGGCTTTTTAGGAATTGGTACAAAGGTCGATTGCAGCCATTGTCTGGGATTGTGGCAGTCTGGTATATTAGATTAAAGATTTCAACCATTACATCAATAACATCTTCATCGATGAGTTTTAATAATTCAATGGGCACATCATCTGGTCCAGCAGCTTTGCCCTCTTTTGTGTTTTTAATGACATAGATGATTTCTTCGCTTAATATTGATGGTCCGGTATACTCGGTAATTTCTAATGACAGTTCTTCTCTTTCATCATTAAATAGTTATTGGATGTAATTGGTCCAGTGACATCATCTATCCTTTAAATCAGTAATAATATCCCCTTTATCATTTTTAAGGATATTCGTTATTGTAGGTTTTCTAGAACCTGTCATTTCTTTGATTTTTTTGTGTAATGTTCTCTTCGTTCTTCCATAAGTTCAAGAAGTTCTACTGTCATCTAAGGTTTTGTTTTTTTCTCCAAGTGGTTTGAGTGTTTCTTTTCCAACTGACACAAGGGCATGTTGAATTTTTCCCCATTTTTGGTCAATAGTTAAAGTTTCCGCAATATCTTCTTTGACTTTCCTTAAGTTCTCGTTTATTTTAAATTTCAATTCCGCATATGTGTTGTCTTGTTTGAGACGTCTTGTATCCATGATTTTCTTGGTGGCTCTTTCATGGATTGACCTTCTTTAGTTTCACTCTCATCGACAAAACAACCGGGTTGTGATTGGAGGATAAGTCCGCTCTTGGATAAGTTTTAGATAATATTATAGAATTTCTATATCTTTTGTTGAAGATAATAAATTCTATTTAATTTCTAACTATTTTTTGTTATTGTCAGCTGGTGACCTCCATGTATATAGTTTATGTTTAGGAAGTTTTAACAAGGTATTTGTAATTATAAGTTCCTCATTGACACAGAAATCGAAAAGCCTATCACCACGTTCATTCCTTTTCCCGAGTCCATATCGCCCCACGCAATTCTCCACTTCTCATTGGCCCACTTTAGCGTTTAAAACCTTAATTTGTAATCTCACATTATTCTTAACTTCTTACTCTTTTATATTTTCACCATGTATAATTGTGACATTGTAAAACTATATCACATTCACCTGTTAATAAGTTGTCGAATAATATGTTTTCCAATTGAACTTCCTAAGTGTTGCAATTACGACCTAGATTAAATTGTATTGTAAGCTCATAGTTAAAATTTGTTAGTATGATAGAAACAATAACCTCTGTGCTGAGGTATGAATTATTTGTAAGATTATAAATTGGGGATTTGAGCTCATGTGAGGGCAGTCTATTATAGATAGTTACCTTAACATCATCATAAAGTGTGATTGTAATTTGTAATAGCGGTCAATAAAACGAACATGTTTCTCCACAACTTAAACTTTTTATTATATTTATCATTGTCGATCGACAAGAAGCAGACAAAGGAGCATTATAAAACGATTCGGACCTCATAACTACGTTTGAATCGTTCCAACAGATGTCTTGAAAAAGAATAAAAATAAATTCGAAAGCTTGACAGTAAGCCAAAGTGTATTCTTTGTCTCGTGGGCCAAATAGACTGCTTCCTCAAAAATCACCACTTATGATACTGATCTTCTCAGTGACATTTTTGATAAAAGGTAAAAATATTATAAAGTAGTTAGGCGGCAAGGTTTCTTATTTGAATGAAATGTTTTTGAATGCTCTTATTGATTTGAGTTCTGAGGTAGCCATTTTGAACCACTTCGATTATCATTGCGCAATGCTTTCGACATTGTCTTTGATGTCTTCTTCAGAGCTTTCGATGTCTCAGTCTCCCGAGCCACTAGATACTACTATACTGATCACTAACTAATGTATTACTGCTACTGGGAACAGATGACATCTATAACGTCGATGGTGACGTGGTTTGGGTGGAGGTTTGCCGCGTGGCGGTTACCCTGGGGATTGAGGTGGGCATTGTCGCGGGGGTTATCGCGATCGTCTACATGGCAATTTCATTATTTAATTCAGCAAAGCGACAGCAGTTTTTGCAAAAAGATTTAATCTTTTACACATTTCGTATAGTTCAGAGGACAGAAAACGATATTTTTAAATCGTTTTCGTTCACGGCCGCCAAAAAAGAACAAGTCAAGCCAATAGAATGTATGCATGCATGGAAAAAGCACTATTACGAAAACTAATACATGACAATAGACGAAATTTGGCGAAGGTTGACAAGGAGGTTTTGAGCAGCAGGATGAAATATGCAGATTGAAATGAGATTATATCTATTTGTAACAGAAAAATGGAAAATGAACTAGAAAGGAACACTGAACGCCAGAACAACAAATACGAACGCTTAACCAGACATAAGGATATAAAATCAAAACAAAACACAGAAAGGAGAGTGGTCAACCTTTCAGATAAGGTTTTAACTCCAGTCGAAACATCACTGCTAGCCAAAGGGGGAAATGTTGCGATTGCATTGGGGAAAAAGCTGAAGAAATAAGGACAGGATCAGCAAGAGTTATGCATAAAGCTAAGACACCAAAAAATAACCTAAGTCGTCAAGAAATTTGTGCCATAAAATCGTTAAACGCAGACAAAGATGTAATTTTACCAGCAGACAAGGGAAACGCCACCGTCGTAATGAAGACAACCGACTACAAAATGAAAATACAAAATCTTCTAGATCCTGCGGTATATAAAAGACTCTAAAAGATTCCACAATAGTCAGACTATGGAAAATCAATAGACTTATAAAATCGTCGTCGATTCCAGAGGATATAAACCAAGAATATGCAACAGCGAAGCAGTCCCACCACGCTTGTGTGGCTTACCGAAAATACACAAACACGATGTACCTCTACGCCTTATTGTTAGCTCCATAGGGTAACCGTCTCACAGCCTTGCTAAATATATTGCCAATATTTTTCAACCACACATAGGAAAAAACGATGCCTTTGTAAAAAACTCTGTACATTTTATCGAGAAGATCAAAGGAATAACTTTATAGGAACCTGACATTCTTGTTAGCTTTGATGTTGTTTCCCTATTTACAAAAGTTCTGCCCTAGAAGATGTTCTGAATTTAATTGAGGGACTATAAGGATATTTTCCAAGGATATGGTGGAATTATACCGTATTTGCCTCACTATCACCTACTTTTCATGGAAACACCAGATTAATGAACAGGTAGACTATATAGCAATGAGAAGTTCACTAAGTGTCGATGACACTTTTGCGATTTGGGATCAAAGAGTAGAAAAACTTAACGATTTCCTGTCTTATATAAACGCACTACATCCAAGTATTTAATTTACGATGGAAACAGAGAAAGATCAACAAGTAGTTTTTCTGGATGTATTAGTAAATCGAAAGGAAGGTTATTTAGACCATAAAGTGTATCGAAAACCTACATACACGGACAGATACCTAAGCAGGAACTCAAATCATCATCCAGGCCAAAAACAAGGTATCATCAAAACTCTTGCAGAGAGGGCGAAGAGAATTTGTGAACCACATCATCTGCAATGTGAACTCATTTATATTGTAAAAAACGCTCACCTCTAATGGCTATTCTTTGGATATGATGACTTTGTTCGTTACTATATGAAATAGCTGTGTTGAGGTCTTTCTATACCATGCTCTCAGGTTAGCAAGCCAGGATATTGTTCTTCGTTCTGGGGCCCTTTTTCCTTTAATTTTACCTTGCAAAATGCATTGAGCTACCTGGTATCTGCCTTGATTTCTCATTATATGTCCCAAGTACTGAAGCTTACGGCCTTTCACGATGTTGACCAAATCTGTAGTTGTGTTCATCCTCCGCAGTACTTCTTCATTGGCGACTTTGTTTATCCATGGTATATTCATGTATAGCAGTTTTTTGTATAGCCATAGTTCAAAGGCCTAAAGTTTTGATAGAGTTTCCGCCTTCAATGTCCACGTTTCTACTCCGTACAGAAGCACTGAGTACACACTAATGGTTATACCAGAAGAGAAATACATAATTCTTGCCCTATTATCGGGGGTAACAGGCAGAATTAGGCAAATACTTAAAAAAGCCAATGAAAAGACCATTTTCAAGCCTACAATAAAATCATGGCCTGTTTGATTTTTAAGATCGGTAAAGAACAAACGCAACCCGTTAGGAACGGCCGGAGTATACCGAATACTATGCACGTGTAAAATGGTATATGTGGGAACCACGAAAAGACACACAAATACAAGGATAAACGAACATAAAAGCCATTGTCGTGTAGGACATATCGACAAATCTGCCATTGCCAAACATGCTTTGGGAAGCGGAGAACATCGGACACTGTTTCAAGAAATGCAGATGCTGGATAAAACATCACAGTTCTACCCACGGTTATATTGGAAAGCAGTGGAAATATATAAGCATCCAAATAATTTTAATCGGATAGAAGGACTAAAAATTAACAACACATGGATCTTCTTCTCATGGCGCCGTCTTGCTTGTTCGATTCTTGATAGCATTTATTTTTTTGGATTACAATGACTATGATATTTACCCCAAATATTCTATGGAATTTACCTGTTCTATTATTTGACCCTTGACATACACATGTATGACGTATGTTTATTGGTGTCTTTGAAAATACTACAATTTTAAATAATTCATGAATTCGACCATTACTTGATGGAAATTCATTTTATGTAAACAATAAAAACACTGAAAACTTTGTTTTAAAACTTCCACAAAATTTATTTTAAATCTTATCACTACAGCTGTTTCGGCTGATTGCCTTTCTCAAGTGATCTATTTTTTGCTTGGGTTTACAAATTTATAGTCTCTAATGAAATAGGTTGAGGAGGGGAGAACTGTTTGTCTCAAGTTGGTCATTCAGAATTATATCTGTGTTTTTAATTTGTTGATTTCCATAGATTCTAACAAAGATAGCTTAAGGCCTTTATTTTGAATGTGAAGAATTTTAAATTTGTCATTAAAAGAATGATTATGATCTAGAAGGTGAAGTGCGTATGTCGAATCTGTTTTTCTATTCTTGAAAGCCCTTTTATGTTCTTCTATTCGTTTATCAAAGTTTCTACCAGTTTGACCGATGTAAGTTTTTGGGCAGTCGCTACATTGAAGTTTGTACACACCACTATTTAAGTGTTTTTTATTTTGGCTCTTTTTATTTTTAATATATTTGCCTAGGTTGTTATTTGTTCGGAAAGCTGGTGTTTATTCCTTTCTTTTTTATGTGTTTGGCAATTTTTGTTGTTATTTTGCCTATATATGTAATCGAGCAGAAGGTACTGGGTTTTTCTCTGGTGGTGAAAATACTAATTTCAGGGCTTTCTTGTGTAGTTTTTGATTTAACATTTTATTAATTGTTTGTTCGTTGTATCTGTTATTCACTGCTATTTGCTTGATGATATTTAATTGTGTCTCAAAGTTGTATTTTGACATCGGAATTTCTGTTAATCTATGTAACAGATATACTATGATAGGCTACCAGTTTATTTTGTGTTGGATGGGATTGTGAATAGTATATAGTCGTGTTAATATGGGTAGGTTCATGAAATATGGAGAAGTCATGTTTGTTTTTAAGCCTGATAATTTTTAAATCTAAAAAGTTTATAGATTAATTTTGTTCTGTTTCTATTGAATATGAAGTGAATTACTATACGATAAAAATTGATCTATTTGCCTGTTAGTTCCTGTGGAACATACCAGTACGTCGTCTACGTATCTCCACCAATATAAAAACTGTTTAAATACGAGATGTTTTGAAATCTTTGTCTCTAGATGGTCCAGAAACATATCTGATAGCAATGGGCTTAGGGGATTGAAGATTGTAGTCCCGTCAGTCCCGTCACAGTCTCGGCGCCGAATCGGTCCTGTTTGGTCACAGAACTATTAATTATCTGACAGCTGAAACACTGTTCTGGTAATCACGAAATCAAAGAACATCAGAGCTAATCTTGTAATAGACAATAGAACGATTGAGCGTGTGCCCTGTTATAAATACCTAGGTGCTTGGATCACAGACGATACTGACCAAACAAAAGAGATTAGATGTAGAATAGAAATCGCTAGATCAGTCTTTAATAGAATGCGCAAACTCTTTTGCAATCGTGATATCAATATAAAGCTACGAATACGAATGCTGCGGTGTTATGTCTTTTCTACCCTGTTATATGGAGTTGAGGCTTGGACACTAAAACAGTTGACCATAAAAAACATCGAAGCTTTCGAGATGTGGTGCTATAGGCGCATTCTCAGAATACCATGGATGGACCGCGTCACTAACACGCAAGTACTCCAAACTTTAGACAAAAGATGCGAAATTCTAAATGAGATAAAAACTAGAAAGATGGAATACTTGGGGCACATTGTGAGAGGTGAAAAGTACGAACTTTTAAGAAACATCATGCAGGGCAAAATTAAGGGCAAAAGAAGTGTGGGAAGAAGAAAAATATCGTGGCTTCGTAATCTACGTGAATGGTTCGGGTTTAGTTCGATTGAACTTTTTAGGCGCGCTGCTAACAAAGTCGCAGTGGCCATGATGATTTCCAATCTCCGCTAGGAGTGGCACGAGAAGAAGAACTGCTCATACGTCTATGGTATTAACTTGTTATTTGCACGTTATGTGTGACAGGGGCTTCACAGTGAAGGTTATTTCAAGCGGGGAAAGTGAACAAAATATTGTAGTCACAGTAAAACACGTGATAATATTCTAAGATATATTTTTAAATTTTGCGTATTACACATTTTAATTTGTTTCATACCTATCTAGTACACAATTTTTTAAAAGAATATATTGTTTTTTCAGTGACTAATTTAAACAGATTAAGTTTATATATAAAAATCCACAAAAGGAAGAAAACTAATAGTATTCTTAATGCCCTGTCTGCAAACCAGTACCTAAAAAATTGTAATTAATAAAAATAATTATATAAAAGAATTAGGAAAATAGGAATGATATAATAAAATTATTTTAAAAATTATTTTATTTATTCCAGAGTCCTTTTTTTGCAATAATATTAGTCAGAAAATAATGAAGATACAGTAATTCGACCATCGAGTAAAAAGACAAAAGAGGGAATTTAATCCTTATGAAAAGGAGACCACAAAAGTGGCCTCTAATGGCGGACATATCCGGAAATACGAATGCACCAAATTTAAATTTTCAGACACTTATTAACAGTAGCTGTATAATATTTTTCAGAATTTGTCTTAGGCGAGAAAGTTTTAATTAATTATTAACGATAATAGTCTAAAATGTGACACAATTGTTAAAAAACTTCAATATAAATAAGATTTCATGTGACATTTGGGACAAACAATAACATAACCCAACTAAATTTGATGTCAAACAAGGAGAGAGACTCTCTTTCCTTGTTTAATGTGGCCTCTAAAGATCGCACTTCCTGTGTAACAATATTTTTGCCCCTACTACCTTTACATTCCCTCTTTTGTCTTTTTGCTCGATGAATTCGACGCATACCAAATGAAAGATCTTGTAAAATGTCCACCGTGTTCTCTATATCACCATTGCTTTTTAAAGGAATATAAAGATCCAACAAGGAATCCAGATATTCACGAAAATCATTCCAATTAGTGTATTTGTTACACGAGCTTGGAGCTTAGAATTAATAGTCAGAAGACAATTTAAGACAAGTATTTACCAGAATGCCATTTTTGGCAATCACTTATGTAAATCCAAAGTTAACAAGATTAGGGATTCTAGTTCTGTCGGTTGGCAAAAAGGTTGGTTCACAGGTTATTGCTTTTAATAAATGTCTACCTTTTGGTGTTATTAACCTAGGGCTCCATTGTGTATGCCAGGCATTATAATTACCAATCGCAATAAATCTGTAGCCAAGTGTAGTAAACAGCTGCTCATATTGATCGCTAGGTATTTTAAGTGTGCTTTTAGGAGTGCTTTAACGGCTGTATATTGCAGAAAGTATCATTGAACCATGCCCGTTCTCTATGCTTGTTTGTGATCTTTTGAATATTGCTTTTATTCTTCACGCTGCTTGATTGTCGATATAATAATTATTGCGTTTCCTCTGTGGGCCCTGCCATCTGTACGATTTGTAAAGTCCGTTGTGTAGTTCGCTTCAGAGAATATAGACGCATTTGCGTCGATATGCTTCGGTAGCTTCATTGTATAAAATTGGTTTCAGAAACAAACATGATATCTCTCAAATTTACAAATAAATTGTGGAACTATAGTTGTACGTATGTACCGTATACGCGCTAATACGCGAAAAGGCTTATAGACAAAGAATCAAATTGTGACCATAAATTATTGTTAAAAAGAAACGCTAGGTGAAAATAGGAGTATCTTACAAGATTCAGATATCTGCGAAACATTTTGCCGTGAAATCGATAATTTTTGCATAACCAGACTGGGCTACATTAACCCTCTATTGCATGAATTTATTTTATTTTATTTTTTGACGAAATAAAATAAAATTATATTAAATTACTCTTAATAGATGTATGTAGAATTCACCGATATCATCATCATCATCATCATTATCAGCGTATTCTTACCAATTATGGTGCAGCCTCCCTTACATAGTCGTTCTTCATGTCTGCCCACGACTGTCTAATATTCGCTTTTCTGTGCCATGTTGTACCGGCTTGTTTCCTTATGTCATAGTCCCATCTTAAATTTGGACGTCTTCTTGGTCTCTTGACGCCTCTTGGATACCACAGAGTAATTCTAGTGGACCATCTATTGTCAGTTCTTCTTGGTAAATGTCCCGCCCACTGCCATTTTAAAGATTTTATTCGGTGGATTAATATATATATATATATATATATATATATATATATATATATATATATATATATATATATATATATATATATATATCTATATATATATATATATATAGTTTTTTGAAAATGATCCAGTTTTTGAAAAAAAAAATGTGTGTCCATTTGGGAACATTATGTATAAAAACTTTTATTAGAACCAATTGTCATACACATTACATACACTATTGCAAATTGTGAAACTTCTTAAAACAATTACTTTTAGAATGAAAGCATAAATGCACCTTACATTTCTCGCACTGGACCCTTGATTTTCCTTTACAGTTTATCAACTTACATCTTTCCCTGTTTACAGTCCAGTTTGGCCAGTGTGAAAACTGATCTGTTTGTACATATATATTGGGTCTAGGTTCAATGCATCTTCTTTTGGATGGTTGTTCGGGTGTAGAACTTCTAGGACGACCTACTTTTCTTTTTTTGTAAAAGACCACTGTTAGTTAGTTGTTCAGCTAGAATTGTTTTGAAATTCAGCAGTGGTATAATCTCTTCAGTTTTTCCAATTTGTTTTTTAATTCGTCTGTCTAATAGCCAAGCATTGACTACTGCTACATCCAGCATATGATAGAAAATACGGTGGTACCATTTTTTACTTTTGATTTTGATTGGATATAATCCCAATAAGGAATCTTGCAGATCCACACCGCCCATGTGCCTGTTGTATTGTTGTACAATGTCTGGGCAATCAATTTCTTTCCTAGTTCTTTCGGTGCGAAAGAATCTTTCCACTTTGGCTGTTGGTTGAGTTCCACAATAATCTGACAGTAAAGACACAATTTTGTTGTCACACCACTGGACTGTATGTATTGCAGTATTCTCATACGTGCCAGAGTGTTCCTGAATGCTACCCCTTTGTAATTTTTTAATTTCCTTCTTTTGCCAACCTTTATAATTGAGAATTCGATTTGTACGGATTGTTGCGATAGAATGTATGCCTCGTTTTGACAAATATGACACCAGTGGTATGCTTGAAAAATAATTATCATAGAAGAGTTTGTGATGTTTATTGGATGGTACTTCTCTGCTCAACCGAACTACAACATTACTAGCAGCTCCCAAATTTACTTCATTCGGTAATTCTGTGTAACCATCTTTTCCAGCCAAAATTTCAAAATTATATGAAAATCCTGAGATTCCTGAGAGAACCCACATCTTGTATCCCCGTTTATGAGGCTTTTTGGGATTGTATGTCTTCATGCTCGAACGTCCTTTGAACGATATAACTTGTTCGTCACAAGATAAGTGTTCTTCTAAAGGTATTTGCAAACACGATCTTTTTATTTGTTCAATCAGAGGCGCTATTTTGTCAAGACTGCGCGTATTTTCTAAATTATTACTAAAATGAAGAAACCTTTTGATTGTTTCAAAACGATTGATAGGCATTACATCTGCAACTTGTGAAATTCTTGTTGTCGGAGCCCAATAGCGTCTTGTAGTAGGTTGTCTTATTAGAGACATCCACAGCAATATCCCCATAAAATTTTCAATTTCTACAGGACATGTGGTAATTGGCTTTTGTGGGTTTGTTTGAGCGCTGTATATACAAGTTTGTCGAACTACCTCAATTATAAAATCAATAATAATAGTCTCCCGTTTTATACCGCACGCGGCTTTGGGAGTATAGCAGGGTAGTCTGCTATATCTAGGGCCTACGGTATACAAGGAAGGTAACATGGCCAGTGCTACGCTTCAACCGCCTATTATTACCCCTGGTTTTACCCAAGGTACTCATTTTATTCAGGCTGAGTCGACCTGGGGCCTATAGACATTAAAAATGCCTAGTTGTTCTTGCCGGCGGTAGGATTCGAACTCACGACCACCGGCATGCGAGGCAAGCACACTACCGCTTGCGCTACGCGGGCCCATATGGTGTCAAAAAAAACTAAACAATTTGTAAGGAGAGTTGAGCTGCAATATGTTGATTGGAAGTAATTCACTACCTTCAAAATGCAGTTCATCTATATTTCGCACAGTTTTTGAAGGATGCCATGTCATTTGACTTTTTTTGTTAGATTTTTGTTTAGTAGGTAGTTCAGTATCCGAATCATCGGTTGATAAATTATCATCTTTATTATCAGAGTCTTCTTGACTGTCAATGATTACTCTGGGCCGGGTGGTTTGTGCAGCTAACGGCTCAACATTATCTTCATCAGATAGTTCCGAATCTTCACTTTCAGATGGAATCTGTCGTAACTTATAGGGCTGAATAGTTTTTGCTTTATTGTTGTAAAACGATGTTGGTGGAATACTTTCAAATTCATCCATTTTTTTTTCTGAAAAAAAGTTTACTTCAGGTTTATTCAAATTAATTTATTTAAACCAATATTGCATTAAATAAGTACCAACTTGATAAAAACAAGCTATAAAATATTAAATTTTTTCAGTTTCAAAATTTACTTTTAGCACACAATGTTCCCGTACGGGAACAGTAATAATTTGGGGCAAATTCTAACAACAACAAAGTAAATTTATTATTTCAATATATCAGTAGATCCTTACAACACTTATAAACGCGTATATAATTTTTATTTATGAAACTTACCTTATTTTTAGCTGATATTTGAAAATAAAATACACGTGCTAAACAAATAACTTACTCGAAGGTCACTTCAAACAAAACTGCTATTTATTGAAATAACCGGTGGGTATATCGGCAACACACAATACACATCTAAGAATGAACGTTCCCAAAAGGGAATAAGATGTGTACGCGCTTAAAATTGTCGATAGCAAATACTCATGGAAATTTTATATATTGAGTTCCCGTTTGGGTCCATTATGCAATAGAGGGTTAACACTGAGATGTAACGTATGGTGTATAAATAAAAGGGGCACAAAATAGAAAAAAAGAATGGAATAACCACATAAGCAGAATGGAGCAGACCCGTGTCGTCAAAATAGCAAGAGATAAGTTACCAATCAAGAAATAACTCAAAAATATTAAAAAACTTCAACTTACTTCATTACTCTTTTTCTTTTTTCTCTTTCAGAAACAGGAATAGTCTCTTTTAAAAGATAAAGGGTGGCACCAATTTTTCCTTTTTTATAATACTCGCACATTTCTCGATTAGTCCTAGATTTATAATTAAACCAAAAGGTATAATCTTCTTCTTTTAAATTTTTTTGCATACTTATGAATTTATTATTTAAGAACCAATACGTGTTTCTCATAAAGGGAATTAGTACAGTAGAAGCAATATAAATATTTCGTTGCAATTTAACTAACCTAAAATTAGAAATAATTGTTAAAATTTTAATGCATATGTAATTATTTATATTAAAATATCACATTTACATTTTTAAATAAACTTTGATGGTATTGTCCACAAAGCTCTATAGAGCCAACAGAGCCCATGCCATAATGTCGCACTTATCCGATCAAATTTTTATGCTAAAATTTTTACAAAAGACAAATTATAAAGAAAATCTAGATTTGTATATGCTCTGTATTGATTTTAAACAGACCTACGACTCCAGAGCATATGCTTTAATTAGTTAAAGTGACGCTTACTAGTACAATTCAGAGAGTCTTGGTAGAAAGAAGTCTTTCAAATTAGTTTAACGTCAATAGATGATTAAAATTGGGGAGAACCCTTTCAACATAATTATTCAACCTAGTGTAATGTATCAGCCCCTTACCCAAAGCAAACAACCTTACCCCTAAGCGCAATCATGAATCTGTAGCCCGGTATGTAACAAGTCAACGTAGCAAGAAAATAAAGGAAACAAAATAATGGGTAGTTAGTGCAGAACGACGAGAGAGAAATATATAAACGGTTGTTGAAATGTAGCAAAGCAGTAGAATCATTAAATACACTGTTGAAGGCAAAAACGTGTCCAACGCAGACAAGATTTGAACGCATGAAACAATAGTGAAACCAATGATGTTTTATGCATATAAAACTTACACAATAAATCAAAAGGAAGAGGAAAAAAGAGATTTGGGAGGAAAAAATCTTAGATTTGGGAGTTAGATGGTTAAACTATGGCTTACAAATGCCAAACGAAAGAAACGTAATAAGAGTTCTGCAAGCAAGAGAACAAGGGAAGGAAAGAAGAGGGGGGTCACAAAGAAAGTGGTTTGATGCCGTCCGGACTGACTAAGGAAAAAAGGGAATAAGAGACTGGACAACAAGTGAAGGACCGGAAAAACTGGAAGAAACTAGTTAAGACTATCGAAGCTAAGGGTCTTTAAAGCCTTTAGTGCTATTTTTTTTTAATCAGACATTAAAATCAGTAAATGCATTTGACCTTTGCATATGTAAGAGCACCTTTTTGGTATTTAATTATCATTTTAAATTTTAAATTACTCACCTTGGTTTCTGCCCAATTATTCTTAAAACGAAGTCAATAAATATTGCTGGTAGCATATGAAATAATATTACTTGAACATAATACATATAAAAATTGCCTGTACAAGAAACTCTGGGATACCAGAAAAGGCTCTCAGATGGAAGTTCATCGCAAATTTTCAGTCCGATTCTTATCATTTCTCCCAGACTCATATCGGTTATATGGTTATAGGAAAGATTGTATACTTCTACAGTATCCGAGACACTAAAATAGTAAGAAATGTAGATCTTAGAAATCTTAGATCGTGATGTTAATAAGGTTTTAAAGGCTATTTCTAAGTTGGTGATATCTTTAAACAGTCTTGCCAGTCTGGGTGTTATGTTTTGACGTATTTTAAAGAAGTATATAAGCAATTGGCATTATGTTCTCCGCTAGCGACAGTAATTTGCAATTCATCATTTTGGCGTAATATGTTAAGGGTCAAACTGAATAATATGTTGGTGACTAGGGGTTTTGGATACGAATTACCGATACAAAGGTTAGAAAGGATTATCAGGTTCTTCTGATGGAAAGAAGGATCACTGATAGCTATAATTTTAGCCTTCATTTGCTTGAGCAAATTAATTTTTATTGAATGTCTATGATATGACCAGTTGAGGAAACGTCCAGAACTATGGGGTTTTCTATGTCAGTCGATAATCAGGGAGTTGTTCTGGTTCTGATGAACCGGGTATCAAGAAAGGGGACTGAGCATAGATCATCCTCATGTTCGATTGTAAACTGTAATAGAGGGTCATAACTATTAAATACCTGTAGAATTTTTGAGGATGCATTACTAGGAATAGCAAGGATTAAGTCATTCACATACTTTTTACAAGAGGAATAAAGAAAGACAATTCTGGGATCACCATATTCAGCAAATGATCCATCATATAACAGGCCAAAATGGGAGAGATAGAACCTCCCATAGAAGTTCCTTGTGTTTGTCTAAACACAGTATTATTAAAAGTGAAATAGGTGTTGTTGAAAAGAAAGGAGATGAGTTTTTTGAAATATTCCAAGCTGATATTGCAATGAGAACTAATGAAATTCCAATTGTTTTTAATAGCTATTAAAGCTGCATCTAGATGTATATTAGTGAACAATGAGATTACATCCCGACTGACAATTACATAGCCTTCAGGTGACTGATAGTTATTAAAGTTGTTAAAAACATCGAATGAATTTTTTATGTAAAATTCATTAGACATATGCATTGGTCAAAATCTCATTCAAAAAGGAGACTAATAAATTAGTAGGAGCACCAATACATGCAACAATGGGACGAACTGCCAGCTGTGGTTTATGAATCTTAGATGAAGCGTAAAATTTGGGTATAACTCCCAAAGTAACATATTCAAGTAACATATTCAAAGTAAAATATCATACATACTTTTTTACATCCTCAGATTGAGTTGCTAGTATTATTCCCTTTATAACGAAATCGGCTGGTATATAGTCTACTTTCATATCTTCTTTTGCATATACTACTCTAAGGATACCTATAAAACGTAATAGTTTTAAACAATTTTAAATAGGAGTTTTCAAATAATAGAAATATCCACAAATATTTCGGCTTATCGATTAAATCCACAGTCAATAAAATTGATAATCGATAAATATCGGTTTAAAAAATATCGAGTAAGGAATCAAGGCTCGCCAATAAGACAAAAAAATAGTAATAAAAATAAAGTTAGTGATGAAACCCAAGTAGATTACAGACTACTAGATTGGTAACACTCGCGGTAATAAACTTATTTGATCAATTGGCAAATGGTGTCCTTTTGGTCATATTGTAGAATGCTCAAAATATCATGGATTCAACGCATCTCAAACATAGAAGTCATAAACAGAATATGTTGAGGAGAAGGTGACTTAACGAAGAAGATAAAAAAGTAAACTTAAGAATCTGTGGCATATATTGAGAGGTACAGGTAGCAGCCATATTAATGATGATGAATTTATCAGCAGATGAATTGTTACACGGGGCTCAATATTAAGGACAATATCGGCAAATATACATGTCAGCTATCCACGCCTAATTTAGGTACGATACTCATAGAAAAAGATGGCTTGGCTCTACTAAGCAGCTTAAAGCGGTATATAAAACTAGCACTAGAATTATTATTAGGAACTTCTCTAATCAATAATCTATTTTTATACAAAGAGATCACAAGTAAAAATATAAATACCCATGAATTTAGGAAGCAAGTAATTACAACCCTTGTGAATACTATTAAGGAAACTTCACTAGCTGTTAAAAACTCTGAAGAGACGAATAAAAGGCAATAATTATTTTAATAGCAGACACTATGGCAGTAAAGGCAAAAGTTTTAGCCGGCACTATTACAGTATAGACAAAAATCTAGATCTATCGGACCTAAACAAAAATTCGTGTCTGCCGTGGCAGTACACTTGTTAATACAAAAATGACCCAACATAGAGCATTGTGATTAGAGATCGCGCATATGGCAAGACAAAGATAATATATTACCTTTTCCCCCAGCGGCGAGTAATCCCACTGGTCCATTAAAATTATCCATCCATCCTTCAATTGGGTCATCATAGGTGTGAATTACTGAAAAAACAATCCTTTATACAATATTTACAAAAGAGATAACAAACTTAAAAGAAGCCTGCATAAAGATACCTCACTGTTAAAAAAAATAGGAATTTAAAAAGATAAATTTTATTGCTAAATAGTGGTTTGGGTTCGTAGAGGAATACTAACCGCTAAGACCTCTCTCCCGTAGATTTCCTGGCAAACACATTGCAATGAACAATTGTGTAATACAAAAGAATACTTCCATATTTCCTATCACAATCCTATCACAAGATCATATTTCCTATCTCCCCAATTCAAAAAAGGTCTCGAATTCATCAAAATCAATCAATGAATTTAGCATCCTCCAAAATAACATATATTTTGTTGTTCGAGTTTCATCTTCGATATGGCCTTTATTTTTGGGGTTGTAGTACAGCTGCTCAAACTGATGTTATTTTTAATTCTAAAAACTGTTTGCTTAATGCGTAAATACCTACATCTTTTTCCAACATGACCTAGTCCTGATTACTCTACCAAAAATTCAACCTGTGATGTGTATCTATCGATCCCGTCCGTTAGTAAAGAAATCATATATTGTATTATGCGGTATGGTTAGTTATAGTTATGGATTATCTATATTGGATGCGGTAAAAAAATTATTTCGATAAATTTCGTACCAGTCTCGGATAGAATAATATTACTCCAAATAAATACTCAACCATTTAAAACTAACATACTTCAAATCTATGCCCAGACTGCAGATAGAAAATATGACGATTATCATATATTATAGGCGACTTCAATGCAAAAATTGAGGAAGGTCAGACTGTAGGTCCTTATGGTTTGGGACATAAACTGTATGAATTTTGAAAAAAAAAAACGATATGATCATTGCAACCACCTGGTATAAACTAACCAAGCGACGACTATACACTTGGAAAGCTCAATTTGATGATGACAATAACCCTGAGTCTTCAAGAAATCAAATAGACTATATACTTGTAAATGAGCGTTTCTGAAATGTCGTCGAAAAAGTCACTACATATCCTGGGGCAGATATTGGATCTGATCATCAACCACTTGTAGCAGATACTAAACTAAGGTTAAAACGAATTCAGCGACAAAAACCAAAAAGCAGTGAACTTATCTTTGACGATATAAACATAAATCATAACATTAAAAAAGAATTTAACAATAGAATCAAAAACATCGGAGAACAACTAGAAGGTCCAAAAGAACTATGAAGTGAATTTAAAAACCAAGTTAACGAAATCTCCACAAACAATGATTATTATCAAAAAAAGTTAACCAAGAAAACTAAATGGATAAACTGCTATTGTAAAAAATTGGAGATAACTTCACCGATGAAATCTCTATACAACGAGGAGTCAGACAAGGTTGCATTTTGTCGTCAACATTGTTCAATTTCAGTGACAAAGCATATTTCTATTCTATTCTAGTCGTTCGTATAAATAATATTTAAAATATTACTTACCGACAGAGGGCCTTGTTATTACACATGGTACCCTTCCGTTGCATAAATCATTGACAACATGTTCACCTAAAGATTTTGCAAATGTGTAGGTATTTGGGAATGGCATAATATACTTCTGAGTTAAAATCTCTAATATGCCTTGATCATATTCCTCGGCTAACTTGATAGCATCGGTCCAGTTTGCAAGGGCTGGATAGAGTTTTTCATCTACTACCAGTTTATCACAGTTAGAATAAGTAGTTGATATGTGTACGAACATTGATATGTTCTTTAAATCCAAGGCTAATTTGGCTACTTCTCGCGTTCCTCGAACATTTAAAATAATGGCGTCTTTCAGGAAATCATCAAAACGAACTGATGCTGCCGAATGGTAAATTATATTTACTTTGTTAACCAGCAACTGCCGATCTTCATCGCTTAAACCTAAAAGTAAAGATATTTAAATAATAATATAAACACTGGTACCATTAAAAATATTTTTAAAGTAAAGAAGTTAAACCAGTAAATAAACTTTTTTTATAGACCCAAAATTGTTTCTATGAGAGTGAGCAACAAAACGACTAAGGAAGAATCATCAATGAATACCTCAATACCGAATAGGAATTGAGGTAATGCTTGTAATCATTTTCTTGGTTCAAATTATATTTGCCAGCGTTTAAAAGTGGAAAGTTTTTGTTGTATATAGAGGTCAATACACTTATTTGATGAATCGTAGCGTTTTAGTGAGATTATAAATGTAGCTTCAGGACTAGTTTTTGACGCAGTCGATTATAAATTTTTACCTCAACAACAACTATAGTGTAATAATTCAGTAACTGTCAATAAAACTGTATTTTACTCCACGACTTCAATAGTTTATTTTATCATCGTCGATCGAGAAGAATCGGACATAGGGAATTAAAAACAATTCGAAATTATAATTACATTCGAATTGTCCAGTATATAACTATTTTCATTATCCAACATAAGCTAATAAATAAAAAAAATGTTAAGAAAACATGAGGCTATAGTTTGGTTTTAATTTTAGTATTTTATAAATGCTGGAATATTCCACAGGGTGTTGCGAACTTTGAGAAAAAAAACACAGTCTGATGGAATAAAATGATAATTTACCATTATAGCTTCAATATTATTATAGCAATATTGTCAAAGAATATGGCTATAACATATTAAGAAAATTACTTAAATCGGACAAGTTTAGGAAATTCGAGGCATTAAAAATGTCCCTATTTTACGCTGGTGCGGTAATTTTGCTGTTTACTGTATATATATATTGTTATATTCCTAATTTGACATGAGAAATTAAAAGACCATGTTCATATTTAGAATTCAATTTAAAATAAAAATTTTCGTATTTCTCAACCACGAGCATATAAATTTTGAACACCCTGTATAAGACAAAATTTGTAAAAATAGTTATAACTAGTTTTTAAGAAAGTGATTCTAGGAGTTGTATACTAACCACAAGAACAATGCATTCCAAATAAGCGATTAGGAGCTTGAGGAAGAAAGTGTTTTTCAAACGGTTTATCAAAACCAAGGACAATGGGTAATTTTACTTAATAGAAGAATAGGTTATTTAGTTTTGCAAGAAATACGGAAATTGGGTACATTATAGATAGTTAAAATATACCTGTGTATTACGATTTGTAAAGATAGTTTAAAATACGATTAGTGTAGAAAATAGAATTAAAATATTTAGAATATTATTTTTTTTCAAATCCATTATGGCATGTTTAAGAAGGAGAAAATAGTTTTGTGGAAAATACGTCATGAGTAAAATTTGTTTTGATTGATTCTACAATTAACTCAGGAGGGGAATGATTTTGGAAGGATGAAATGAATGAGTAAGGAGGGCAGTCTGTTTGGTTCGATCGAAAGGGAAAGTCCAATTTGTGAGTGCAGTGTACAGAAAAGGAAATTGTTGGTTGGTTTTCCAAATGTGACACGTATCATAGCGTTGGAACGAGGAATTAGGTCAAGTCTAGAGAAGATATAACTCCTTAAGTCTAAGGTATCCAGTAATTTTTAAGTGTTTCAAAAAGTTGGAATACTGCACCGGAGAAAATCGGAACGAGTACTATACGAGGCAGAGCAAGGGAAATGAGAACGAGGTTACAGAGGAGCAGGGACATTTTTGAGAAACGTGAACAAGTTTCCTTGGATCGCAACATCGACAAATAAGGAGAGGTGTTTGTGTGAAGACATTGGCGAATCATGAGCGAAGGTCAGTTTAATTTTGTTATGACATGAATGTATGATTTGCGTATTAAATATCACAGTGCATATTGAACTACACATTTCACTATTATAAAATCATTAACCTCAGGAAAATTTGTTACTTAGACAACATTACATTTTTTTTTATAAGAGAATATTGATAAAATAAAATTTTACATATCAAACAAAATTTGGAGACAAAAGAAAATAATATTCCTAGTTTCGTAATTGTCATATAAAAATAAAGATAGAAGAATAAATAATAAACTTAACAATATTAAACATTTATTGCAGTTTGATAAAATAAATAACTTTTATAATTTAGAATTGAAATTCCTGTGTGTATTATTTTGTTCATTTTTTCCTATCCTTATTAGGAAGCCACTGAGAAATATTTTGAAACCACCAAAGAAAGAAAGTATTGATAGTCTGATTTAGCCCTGAGATATACAATTTATTTATGTTTGATTTGTTTTGATTAATTAGATAATTACTTTAATAATTAATTAAAGTAGTTTAATTAATTAACGTATGACCTAAGTACTAAATTATATAAAGACAAATTTTGCTTATATATATATATATATATATATATATATATATATATATATATATATATATATATATATATATAATGGCTATACACCCCAACGTGGGGTTAAACCGCAAATGCTTTCTAGATCCTATTTCTTAAGTGGATCAGTCTTTTTTTTTGTTTATCTTATCTTCTTGACAATATCTCTCCATTTTTTCCTGTCTCTAGTTCTTCCTCTCCATTCACTGACTCCTGCCCTTTGGAGGTCTTCTTCAACTTCTTGCAGCCACTTTGATCTCGGTCTTCCCCTTCTCTTTCTTCCTCCTGGATTCCATTCTATCATTGCGTATGTCACTGCCTCATCGCCTGCTCGCCAGATGTGACCTAACCATCTAACTCTGCATTGCTTTATTTTAGTTACAATGTCTTCCTTAAGTTCTTCCTTAATTTCTGCATTTGTTCTGCTTCTATATTCATTTTGCTCTGTTCTGATTGGTCCTAGTATGGTTCTCATAATCTTTCTCTCTGCAATTCTTAAGTCTTCTTCATCTTTTTTAACCATCGTCATTGTTTCCCCTGCATATAATAATATTGGTCTAATTATGGTGTTATAAATGCTCATCTTGCTTTTTTTAGTCAGTGTTTTGCTTTTAAGTAATCTTTTGTTTGCAAAATAAGCTTTATTCGCTGCTAATATTTTTTCTTTTATTTCGGATTTCCTTTCTCCGGATTTACTTATTGTAACTCCTAGGTATTTGAAGTATTCTACTTCTTCAAACTCGGAACTCCCTATTTTGATTTTTTCCTTTATTGGTTTTTTCCCTAATCTTAATATTTTTGTCTTTTCTTGATTTAATCTTAGCCCCATTACCTCCCCCTTCTCTCTTATTTCTTCAAGCATTTCTTTCATTATTTTTCTGTTCTTTGCAATAATAGCAATATCATCTGCATATGCAATTATTTGACCACCTCTTGTTCTAAGATTTCCTTTATTTATATTTCGCAGTACATATTCTAATGCTAGATTAAATAGCGTCGTTGATAAGGCATCTCCTTGTTTCATCCCTTTATTTATACTGAATTCCTCTGTCTCTCCTCTTTGTGTCTTTATGCTTATTTTTGTAGTTCTCATTGTCATTTCTATTAATTTTCTGAGTTTATGTGGAATTTTTAATTTTTTAAGTGCTGTCATTAATACGTTCCTTTTAATTGAATCAAATGCCTGTTTGAAGTCTATGAATAACATTTCCAATTCTAATTTATACTCGTTTGCTTTTTCCATTATTTGTTTTATTGTGTGTATTGCATCTATTGTAGATCTTCCTTCTGTGAATCCACATTGGTAACTGTCCTACTGTCTTCTTTGTGATCTTTGATAACCTCTTTTTTATTATTGATGTCAATATTTTATATGTTGTATTTAGTAATGTTATTCCTCTATAATTTTCACAGATTTGTTGGTCTCCCTTTTTATGTACTGTTATGATCTGTCCTACCTCCCAGTCACCTGGCATTTTCTCTTCTTTCCATATATTTTTCAATAGTGCCAGTATTTTTCCTCTTAGTTCCCTTCCCCCGTATTTTATTAGTTCCATATTAATTCCATCTTTACCTGGGGCTTTTCCATTTTTGCTTCTCTGTATTACTTCATCCAATTCCTCTAATGTTGGTTCTTTTGAAATTTCGATGTCTACTTCATTTGCTTCTTCTTCGTGTACTGTTTCCTCCTCGTCATGCATTTCTTCTTCTGTTGTTTCCTCCGTCAAGAGCTCTCTGTAGTAATCTCTCCATACTTGCTTGTATTCTTGGTCCTCTATTATTACTATTCCCTCTCTATTTTTTATTCCGTTTGTTTTGCCCTTGTATTTTTTGTTTTGTTCTTTAATCTTTTTGTAAAAACTTTTCGTATTTCTGTTTGTTCTTTCCTGCTCTATTTCCTGCATTTTTTTGTCTACCCATCTTCTTTTATTTTGCCTTATCACCTTCTTAGCATACCTTCTTAATTTTTCATATTCTTCTCTGTCTTCCTCTTTATCTGTTCTTAGCCATTTATTTCTGGCTTGCACTTTTTTTTCTGTTATTTCTCTACATTCTTGGTTATACCATTCGTTTCTTGTTTTAGCCTGACTTTTACCTATCTGCATATTTGCACCTTCTTCTATTGATTTTTTGATCGTCTCCCATTCTGTGCTTATATCTTCTACTTTATATTTCTCTTTTATTTGAACTGTTACTGCCTCTTCATATTTTTTTCTTACTTCTTCATTACTCAATTTATTGACATTCCACTTTTTATGTTGGTTTTTTTGTTTTGTTTCAATTTTAACTTTTTGTCTTAAAATGGCTGTGACCATGTAGTGGTCTGAATCTGCACACGCACCTCTGAACGTTCTTACATCTTTTATTGACGATTGTTTTCGTTTATTAATCATTATGTGATCAATTTGACTATATGTTTTCTGATCCGGTGACCTCCATGTTACCTTATGTATTTTAGGGTGTTCAAATTTTGTCGAGCTTATTAACAAATTTGTTCTTGTTGCTAGGTTACATAGTCTTTGCCCATTGTCATTCGTGTTTTCGTGTATTGTATGCTTTCCTGCAATTTGCTGTAAAAAGTCCTCTTTTCCAATTTGGGCGTTGAGGTCTCCCAGTACAAATATGACATCTTCTTTGGGTATTTTTTCTATCTCCTCTTCGACCTTATCATAAAAGATTTCTTTTTCGTCTGCATTGCTTGTTTCTGTGGGGGCGTATAAATTCAAGACTGATATATTAAATGGTTTGCTGTTGACTCTAACATAGGCCATCCTTTCGCATATTGGCTTGAAACTTATAATTTTCTCTCTTAGGTGACTAAGTATCATGAATCCCACGCCTTTTTGTCCTTGCTTCTTTCCTCCTGAATATAACATTGTAAAGTCTTGTTTGTCAATCTGTCCCTGTCCCTCCCAACGTAATTCTTGCAGTGCTGCAATATCTATTTTATACTTTTTGAGTTCCTTTCCTATTTCTAGCATTTTTCCTGGAGCTAGCATAGTTCTTATGTTCCATGTGCTTATTTTCAACTCTTTATTTTTTTTGTTCTGTTGTCTTCGTCCTTTATATTTGTTTTCTTGTCCATTTTTCTTTATTTCACTTTTGTTGTGCCCGGGTTTATCTGCAGTTATTTCCTGTTTCTTTGCCTCGTCCGTCAACGAATAATGTATCCTCTCATCCCTTGCTAGTTTTTTGAACCCCCTCCATGATGGTCCTCCAGCTGGTTGGTGTTTCTATTCCATTTCCTTTCTAGACCATCTATTATAAGTTTGTTGGCTTTAATTTGGACACGTTTACCTTTCTTTATTTCATCTTTTGCTATTCTTCGTATTTCCCTCTGTATTTGTAATTCCTCTGTTGTTAGATCATTGTTTATATATATTTTTTCTTTTTTCACTTCTTTAAGTTTACTTTTGTTTTCCATAATTTTTGTTTTTTCTTCTTTGTTTGGCAATCTGACTAAACATGTTTTATCTCCTAGTTTCACTGCTTCATCTATATTTACAGTAATATTTAGCTCTTTTGTCATAAAATTTTCTATCACTTCTTTTAGTACTCTTCTATCTCCAGTTTCTATTGTCATTCCCTGTATTATCACATTATTTTCTTTTCTTATTCTATCCAGCCTTTCAAGGCGTCCTTTTGTCTCATTCAGATCCTTTTTGATTTGTTCATTTTCTTTCCAGATTTTACTATTCTCTTGTTTTAGTTCTGCTAGTTCAGTTTTAAGTTCCCTCATTTCTTCTCTGTATTGTTTTTGTTCCGTTTTTACCTCTTTTATATCAGTTTTTAATTCTTGTAACTCTATTGTTAAATTTTTTATCATATTTAGTATTTGATCTATTTTGTTTTCATCTTTGTGACTTTTAATTGGGCTTCTTTGTACTTTTTTACTGGGACCAAATAATAGTTCCTCTTCTTCTCTATTTCTTTTCCGATTGTCATTGGATGTATTATCATCTGAATTCATATTTCTGCTGCTACTACTCGCGATAGAGCTAACCTCCCCACTCAACGCGTCGAAGGAAGATAGTTCTCTCAAGTAGTAGCTTGTAGTAATTTATTTTCTCGTTTTCTTCCTAGATAAATTAATTTTCAATTAAAATAATTGTCAGATACTTTGGAACGGTTTGATTTGGCAACGCCCACCTCTAGCTTTTAAAACTGATGAACCTGGGCCGGTTTTGTTTTTAGTTTTTTGTGTTGAGAGTAAATAAAATTTCCTTCGCCTTCCTAAATTTATCGAGGTTATGCACTTACCTCTCTTCCAATGTCTTTGCTATAATTACCCTTAACACTTTTATTCTTGTATTACACACTGCACGCAAAATCAGCAAAATTATCGACTCACAATAACCAAAAATTGAAATTATTATGGAGCAGAATTTACACACATCTATTCCTTATACTAGAGATGGAAGCCAAATTTTGCTTACTATACCTAAATTTAATTCGCAGATATCCCCCTTAATTGGAATGATTTTCTTTAAAGCAGCTGCATTTTGATGGCGTATTGGGTTAAATATCTATAATTAAAAAGTATTTCGTTTAAATATTTTTTACATTTACAGACTTTTATAGTAAAAAAAAAACAATACACAAATATGTACTCGTTAGACTTTGTTGAGTGATTTCTTCGAGTTAAGCAATATTGTTAAGGTGTTACGAAATATGCAATATTTTTACTGCAATTGTTATGCGGCTGCAACACAATATCCAACTATACTGGCCAGACTGTTCAATATAGGGGAATGTATTGGTATATGTTAGCCATTAAAGCCAGTAATATCCATACATTATTGCTATCGTCCGTATTGTTTTACACTAGTGTTATAGTTGCCAGACGATCGCTTGTCAAATGAAACTTCTTGCAATATTCACTTTGTTTTGGTGATTATTTGTTGTTTTGGAAAATTTTGGAGGAATAAAATGTTTCACAGGTCTACATTTTTTTTTCATAAAAAAAGTGTTTTAAGTTTAATAGGTGTCCTATAGTAAATGGGATGTGCTGATCACAAATCTCTACTTACTTTTTTTTCAAAGCGTTAGGTTTTTAAAAAACGTGTTGTAGAACCTGCCAAAAATACTGAGAAAATATTTATCGAAACTTTATTTAATACAAAATTACACTGCAAAATTGAGTTGTTCAAAAAAAAAAAGAATTCAGTATAACCTACGTTAGACAATATTTGTTTTTTTTTATAAAACCGTTCTCTTTTTTTTATGAAAACTACGTTTTGTGGTCTTCTTTTAATTCATTTTTGTGATTGAGTCTCTCTTCAAGGTCTCTCTTCAAGCAGTAATCAGCCATCATTCTTATATCCCGTCCTTCTTGGTAACGTCTCTCGATTTCCTTTACATCTTGATGGAACCTCTCTCCCTGCCTTTCGCTAACAGCTTCAAGATTTGCGGCAAAATAGTCAATATGCTAATCCAGAAAATGAAGTTTGACGCTCATATCACATCCCAGTTTTTTATAATTTTCGACGATGTCGGCTACAATTTCTTTATAGTTTAGAGACTTGTTGTTTTTAAGTAAACCGTCTATGACTCCTACGAAAGAACTTCGTGCTTCATATTGATCCTGGGTCATTTTATTCTGGAACGATCTGTCCGATATTAAGGTTCGAATTTAAGACGTACAAAAATTCCTTCTTTAAGTTAAGCTTCAGAAATTGCAGGAAACTTGTGACACAGATATTTAAAGCAGTTACCTGGTTTATCTGAATCTTTGACAAACTGCTTCATCAATGCTAACTTTATTTGAAGAGGAAGATAAAGAACTAATTTTGGGTCAACTAGTGTATCACGTTGCAAATGTAGTGTATCACAGATTTGCTAACGATATTCGCTATACTTTATTTTATTTAGCAATAGCTCAAGATTTTCATATGTTTCTTTACCATTATGTAACAGGACAACCTTCAGAATTCTCTTAGAAGAATCAATAAATAACCGCCATGATGTGGAATCGTAATTGTCAGCTCCCAGTTTCATGACTACTTCAGGAATATTATGACAATACATCAGTGAGCCCTCTTGAGAAAAATATGGTAATACATGAGAAAAATGTGGTACTTGGAGCCAATAGATTTTTATCTTTCAGTCATGATCCTAAGATTTATGCAGCATCCTTCGTTAGGCCAAGTCTGTCAATAAGTTATTTAGTTCAGCTTGGATAAACTTTGAGGCTGGTTTATCTCAGGATTGAGTTCGTCTTAATTGGTTTTTTCGTCTGAATTTTTATCTAATGATTGCTCTTGGATGGTGTGAAGAAAAGGTGAAGGAATAGAGATTCTTGGTCCATGCGATACAGAAAGTAAATCAGGATATAGAATTTTGTGTTTATTTTTCTAATTAAAACCCTTGATATCGGAGGAGCAAAAGTAGTAGTCGTCTCCATGGTTTTTTAGTTCACTCCATACCATAGGAATGCCAAAAAATTACGTGTACCTTTAGTCCATTTTCTCAGTAATTCGACACATTGAAAGCACACTTTGGAGCCCAAAGTTTGTCCTAATCACCAAACTTTACACCGAAGTAAGCGTGATAAGCTTTCTTTGCAAGGTCTGTTATTTTTCGTTAATGCTTTCCTATTATTAAATCATCACACACGTAACAAAATATAGCAGGACTATTCTTAAACTTTCTTGATGACATTATGGCGCGACATATTGAACATAGGTATTTTAAAGAAATATTGGTCAGCCTGTGAACTGGTCCAAGAACAGGATTATAACTTTTATGAACAAAATATATTTACTCCTTAAGTTGTGGAATATGGAAATTGGAATATATAATAGAAATGCAAAAAAGACGGATGTGCTATTATTTCCAAAAAAAAATTAAGATTTCAAGTGATGAAGGTTACCAATAATTCTGCATCTTGAGAACGTTCGCAAAAACCTGAGGAAAAAGATTGAAAGAGGTAGTGCTAGTGGTAAACTAGCGAAATGGTTTGTTTTAATTTGAAGTTCGTGAAAAGTTTTTAAATAAGTTATTACTTACTTTGTAACTCGACATTTTTAGGGAGTGTTTTGCCATGCTTGTCAAACGGGTTGGCGAGTTCGTGGATCAGCCACCCTTTCAGGGTCAGACGCTGTTGCAAGCCGCCCATTCTGGGACAGACTCTGCGGTGATCTAATTTTATACTAACCCTAAAATCGGGGGTTACCACTTCCGCCATACACACCGTACTGAAGAAGTTCTTCTCCGCCGTGGATACCGTTGTGGTCTTCATCCGTGACCCTGGACAAGGGACCCTAAGCAGGTACTAGTTTCCCGAGTCAGGACACTCCTGGAATCTGCGGAGGGCAGGGATTGATTCATTTTCCCTGGTAGGACTGTCCGAAGGAGTTCCGTCTACAGACCGTAGGTCTGTAGACCACATATGATATGGACTGACGATCTTAAGAGAACGGCAGGAAAGGACTGGATGCAGATCGCCCAAAATAGAGACCAATGGAGATTAACAGGGGAGGCCTATGCCAAAGAGTGGGCGTTTAAGGCAGATTAGATTGATAGATATTACTTACTTACTTTTAGATTTATGTTATCTAAAGTGTTACACCTCTTTACATAAGGTCAAATCCACAAACTTTTTTTTTTAATTTTTAACACAGCTTAACACAGCCGCTGCAACGAGTATGATTTTGTCATTCATTCTTACCCGATTGTTTTGCCGGTTATAAAAAACTTTACAAGGAATACTGTTGCTGGCATTTTTTTTGGGATATACATTGCCGAGCCATCTGATGCATTCAACGTTGTCATAAATGCCATTGTTACCAGTATTGGAGCCACATATTGCAGTAAAAATATTGCTCTTTTGAAAGCGCTTTAATAAAATCTATAATACTTTTAAACTATTGTAAAACAATACGGGCGATATCAAAAATCATAGGCTAGCTTTTTTCAGTGTGGGTTTCATTGCTGAAAATCGCTCCCTTTCCCCCTGTAAGAGAACTTAAATCAGAAAAAGCCGATAAGTGTCAAGTTGACATTGAATTAAAAAACTGCTGTATTTAAAAGAAAACTTTAAGAACTTAACTGGCAAAGACTGGAAACCCAATATGAAACCTGAACCTCCAAAACGTTACTGGTGAAAGTGATAACGCCAAGAAAGTATTAACCGCTAAAATTACTGAACAAGGAAGTTTGGTTCGAGATTTAAAAACAAAAAAAGCTGGCAAGGAAGAAGTAGATGCCGCTGTGAAAGTTCTCCTACCCCTTAAGGTTGAATATAAAAATCTAACAATTGCAGATTTTCCTATAGGGGGAAGAACCCCAAAAGAAATCAATCCTGTGGCATTAAAGGAAAAAGAAGTAAAACAAAAATCTGCCATTAAAGAAAATAAACTTGAGGTGATAGTGGTGCTAAAAGGCAAACTCGACTTGGTCTGGAAGCAAAAAAAGAAGAACAATTGTCAGACTGGTATTCTCAAGTTATTACAAAAGGAGAACTAATAGAATATTACGATGTTTCTGGATGTTACATTTTTAGACCATGGTCATTCGCGATATGGGAGCTATCAAAGATTGGTTTGATTCCAAAATTAAGAAACTAGGTGTTTAAAATTGCTGTTTTACAATATTTGTTTCCAAAGCTGCTTTAGAAAAGGAGAAGACTCATATTGAAGACTTTGCTCCAGAAGTTCCATGGGTTACCAAATCGGGTGATGCAGATATGGCAGTGTCACCTCGGGGTAAATGGAAAGGGTCTTGCCATTTTCTGTACCACCGTGTGCTCTGTAGAGGGCTTCGGAGACATCAACGAAAGCACCTCTACCCAAGTCCATTTTTAGGATATGAACTTATAAAGTTTTTTCATCTGATGACTCGTCTTGAGAAAGACGAGTTATTTCTTACACGACGAAGATTCTCCGTTGAAATAAACCATCAGGTTCTCAGCTTCGGTGGCTTGCCTTGACAAAGGCAAGATATTTCTTACATGACTAAATAGTAGTCGAAATAAAACACCAATTTTGAAGTTGAATAATTACTCAACCACAGAGTATGGAAAGCTAAAAAGGAAGCAGAGCCCCGAGAGCACTAAGCTCTCGGAGAGCCCGTGAAGGACTGACTTATTGACCTGAAAATCGCCTATTTTTATACTTTCTGAAGTAGCGATTAGAGATTTCCAGGTCAGGGAGGGGCCAACGGGAAAAATAAGGGCGGGGCGATACGCCTCGAACGTGAACTAGTCGCGTTCGACAACAGCAGAACCTATTGCAGTTAGACCAACATCTGAAACTGTAATGTATCCGGCTCAAAGGACCAAATGTTTAGTATTAAACTTGAGAGGTCGCTGGTTAAATTATAATGGATAAATAATTATAAAGGAAAAATGCAATGTTTGTTTGTACATAAAATTAGCGAAAATAACAACTATCAATTGTAAATAAATTATAAAATTAACTGGTTGATTCATTATCGTTGTTTGCACAAAGAATATAGACTTACCCTTTGGTTCTATTAATGTATTCTGTGTGTTCTATTATGGTTCTATAATGTATTAATGTATTCGTACCAGGCTGAAGAGTTGGTCTCTGGGCATCACGACGCCCCGGCCTGGGACGCCGAGGCTAATAACACGAGACCGGTCTATGCGTCTATGGAGCGTTTAGTTCACTGTCTTACGAAGAAGTAAAATGCGTTGAGATGGTCCGAGCTAAGTAACCCTTTAAGTGGTGGTCCGAGAGGGTGTACCAATAAATCATTCTATTGTCGGACGATTTTGAATGGCGATAGTTTACAGTTAGTTGCTACACGACACTTTAGAGTTGTGTGTATATTTTTGACTCATACAAAAGAGAAGCCAAATTCTCCGTACTTCAAACATGATAAATGAGATAGCCAGTTTAAGTTTTACGAAATAACAGGAAATAATATATTTTAAAAACGTCTTTAGAATACAGCACCAAATTAGGTCACATTACAGTACCGTATCAAAAAAAATATTAAATGTAAAAATACATACTGTCCCAAACACCCCCAAATACTTTTTTTATTTCTAATAATATTTTTATATTAAAAAACAGTTTACAATTTTTCGAAATCATTTTTTATTTCAAAATATATTTGTTAGAACAGCAACTTTTTGAGACAAGTTTCCTTTGTTTTTTTATTAAATTATTGTGTAATTATAAGAAAAAGATGGTCACAGTCACATATGTAAAAAATACATTAAAAGTTCAGATTTAAATTAAAGTTTATTTTAACAATACATTACAATATCATTCATCGCTGAAATGGTACCATTTCTTAAATTCTGTATTTACAGCAAGTTTTTGTTCAACCAAAGGCACCATTAGATGTTTCAAAGAGCCTTGCACCATTGTTAATAGAAAGTACAACTTCTTACATGAGGGAGAGGGTTCTTGCAGGAATTGTGAGAAATTTTACCATTCAATCAAGACATCCAATCGAGCCATTCGAGAGCTTTCGAAGGTAGAAAATTTTGACTTTTTCTTGTGTATTGTTTTTGTTTTTTATTTATTGTTAATTTTAACATATGGCAATATATATAAATATAAAATAATAAGATACGAAGAGTAACCAAGAAATTATATTTACTTACAGGTGATTTCGTTATTTTTTCGAGTCGCTCTTCAATTGAGTTACCTCTTTTTGGTCTTAACAAAACGTAGATATTTCCGATACCTGAACATGATCTTAAAAGTTTTTCTATTAAAAGTTTTCCTATAAATCCGCTGCCCCCAGTAATGAATACGTTTTTATCCACGAAAAAGTCAGCTACGGTCATTGTGTAATTTATTACCTAGAAATAATATCATATTTTAAACATATTTATACTCGATTTGGTAATAGGTGATAGCACAGTTTTTGTAGCAGAAGTTAAGAACGGCTATACGAGCGGTTTATTTCTAAAATCACGCTTAGAAACGGAATATACCGACTATTTGCTTGCATTTTTAATGCGCCAAACCTTTTTTCGATTCTATATATTTCTCCTACTTTAAATGTATTTTGTTTTCATTTTTCCAAGTAGATTGGTAATTGTTAATACCAAATAATTTTGCTACTATTAAAAACTATTAAAAATTTCGCGAATCGCTTCGAGTGAATTGTTTTTAGGCGCATCACATCTAAATAAAATCTTTTTAAAAACCTAAAACATCGAAACAAAAAACTTCTGTTGCAATTGGTATATTTAATTAAAAAATAAAATCAAAACATCCAAATGGATTAAAAAGTTTAGAACTTTTTTGGACTCATCAGTCTATCTTCAGAAAACTTAACTCAATACTTGCATCATCATCATCATCATCATTCAGTCCATACTCGTCCACTGCTAAACATAGGCCTCCCGTAGTTCATCCCACAAATTTCTGTCCTGAGCCGCCTGCATCCAATTTTGATGTGTCCGTTTCAGGTCATCCGTCCATCTTGTTGGTGGTCGTCCTCTATTCCTAAAGGCATCTTGTCTGGGTCTCCACTCAAGAATGCGTTTTGTCCATCTGCCGTCCTTCGTTCTCGCGACGTGCCCTGCCCAGTTCCATTTTAAGGTTGATATTCTTTTGATTGCGTCGGTTACTCCCGATCTACGGCGCAATTCTGTGTTGGGTATTCGGTCTCTCAGGGTTAATCCCAACATGGACCGTTCCATTGCCCTCTGTGTTGTTCGAATTTTGTTTGCGGACGTCTTAGTAAGTGTTAGCGTCTCCGCACCATAGGTTAGAACCGGCAGCACACATTGATCGAAGACTTTTCTCTTCAAGCAGATGGGAAGAGCTGATTGGAAAACATCTCTTAGCTTTCCATAAGCTGCCCATGTCAACCCTATTCTACGTATTAGTTCATTGGTCTGGTTATCTCTACTTAAGCGAATTTCGTGTCCCAGATATTTGTATGCTGATGTTTGTTCTATACTTGTTCCAGCTATGTTGATGTTCTCACTCAGAACAAGGTTTGTCATCACTTGTGTTTTTTGAGTTATTGATCTTTAAACCCACTTGTGTAGAGGCATGGTAGAGTCTTTCGCACATTTCGATGGCATGATCTATGCGGTCTGTTATCAGGACTATATCGTCCGCGAACCTGAGGTGACTAAGCTGCTCTCCATTTATGTTTATGCCCTTTTCGTCTAGGTTTGCACGCTTACACATGTATTCCAATAATGTTGTAAACAGTTTTGGTGAAATGGTGTCGCCCTGGCGAACTCCACGATGAATGTTGAACTTGTGTGTATCTTCATGGAGTCTGACGCATGCCGTGGCATTATCATAGATATTTTTGATGACAGTGGTGTAGCGGTGATCTATTCGGCACTCTTTAAAGCTTCTAGCATTTTCTGGTGGTTTACTGTGTCGAATGCTTTCTCATAATCCACAAATATTAGGACGAGGGGTTTATTGTACTCTATACATTTTTCGATGAGGCTTTTAATAACTTGTAGATGGTCGTTTGTGCCGAAGCCTGACCTGAATCCTGCCTGTTCGCATGATTGGTAAAAGTCCATTTTGTTCGAAAGTCTGTTTGTTATGACTTTTGTAAAAAGCTTGTATATGTGTGAGATGAGGCTGATTGGTCTATAGTTTACGAGATTTGTTAAATCTCCTTTCTTAAACATTAGAATGATCACTGCATTTTGCCATTGTGATGGTGTTGTTCCTCTTTCAAGGCATTCTGTGAAAAGTATGGAAAGCATTTGTATCAGTTTCTCGCCTCCTAATTTTATGGCTTCGGCAACGACCCCGTCGTCGCCAGGTGACTTATTATTTTTCATTTGTAGGAGAGCTTTTTTGATTTCATCAACAGTAACATCTGGTATGTCTTCCGAGCCCTGGTTTAGAACCTTTGGTATGTTGTCAGTTGGAACATTTTCTTCTGTTTTGCTGTAGAGTTCGCTGTAAAATTGTCCGACAGTTTGTAGAATTTCCTGTTTATCTGTTATTATTTCGCCCTTTGTGTTTTTCAATTTGTAAATATTTTTCATTCCTATTTGCTGTTTCCTTCTGAAGACTTTTGAACTTTTGTTCTCTTCTATGACTTTTGATATCTCTCTGGTGTTGTAGTCTCTTATATCTTTTCTGATGTTCTTAGTGATTTGTTTGTTTAGTTGTCTCATTTTTGTTAGATTGGTTCTGTATTTATCTGTTAGTTGTCTTCTTTCCTCTAATAGAGTTTTCGTGCTTAGACTTAGTTTTTCTTCGTCTTTTTGGTTTTTTGGGCAACATTTTTCTTGTGCTTGTTTTAGAGCTTTGACTATTTTTTGGTTTAGTTGTTCGATGTTTATGTTTTCTGTTTTTTCGTTTTGCAATTTTTCTTCGATCGTACGTTCAAACAGTTTTGCATTTTTAGGTGCTACCCATCTTCTAACATTTGGTTTAGGAAGAAGCTTCATTCTTTCTTTTTTAATGTTAAGCATTACTTTTGTTCTTATCATCCTATGGTCGCTGCCAGCAGAGAACTTGTTGAGTACTTCCACGTCTTGTATTATATATTTTTTATCTGTAATTATAAAGTCGATTTCGTTTTTGACGGCGCAATCAGGGCTTATCCAAGTCCATTTGTATAACTTGCATAACTAACCCCAGAACTAAAAAGTGGTTGGGTTTAAATTGATAAAAACATGCTTAAAAATATTAAACTATAGGAAATATGCCGATGTAAACGGATTACTAACCGGAAACATAATAGCCTACTCGAAATAAAATATTTTCGCATTCGAACTGTTGAACTGGAGTTTTTTACTTTAATGTTATAGTTTTTTAACTAATAAAGTATACAGCCAACTACGGGAATTATTTCTTTTTAAGTTTTAAATACTTTTTTTTCTTGGTAATTTTTCGAAAAATGCTTCGTGGCAATTCTAAAAAATGTTTTATAATCAGTAAACCATCAAGTACAAGTATGAATATTTTGACAATGGTTTGTATCTCGCTGAAAACATAGCCCCAAATATTTCGAATGTACCTTTAGAGCAGTCTATGGTTAAGGATTTACAGCGGTTGCAGTGGTTCAGGTGCGCGGCACGTAGAAATAAGACTTTTTTGTCTTCAACGTTTTATTGTATTTATCTTCGTCGATCGAGAAGAAGCGGACAAATCTATAAAACGATTCGATCCTTTTAACTACGTTCGAATCTGTCCATTGGTCCTTCGACAAAACAACATCAAAAGGGCGTTAATTAAGTTGGAGCTTCGAAGGAGACAACCCTTAGCGACCTAAATAGCTGTCCTCCAGTTCCGTAGAAAATCGACGATCGAATTCGAAGTGTGGAGAAAAGAAAAAATAAAACGAAGAAAGCACTGAAATTAGGAGTAGGAGCCTTACGAGAGCCTTTGAGCACTAGAGAACCTGAATAGTAGTGCTTAATTCTACTTTCTAACAGTTTGGAGGTGAAAAATCTAGCGGTATCCATCTAGCTTACCAGTTCCAGTTGCAGTTCTAAGAAGAAAGCAGAAACATACAAGTGAACATCGGGATAAAACTAAGTTTTTGAATATTTATTATTATTTAGAGCAGTGAATTTTTTTGGAAATTAAAAAGATTATTAAAGAAACTTAAGCGTCAATTTTTACTAATACGTATTTGAAATATTTTTATTCTGCATACCTTTTTACTTAAAATAGTAATATTTTGTCTACTACTAATTCAAATCTAATATTTTGATTATTTTGATATTACTTATATTGGATAATTTTTCTTATAATTTGAAATTCTTGAAATATTTGATTTTCATATATTGACATACTTGACAAATCGTTATTTTTATACACATTTTGAGATCATTTAATTCCGCATATATCCTATTTGCATTTTTATATAAAGAACTTTATTTCTCTGGTTACAGGTAATAATATTACATTTTTTAAATTGTACAAATAGCGGTGTCAACAAGGTTGAGTTCATTGCGTTGTTGTGCAAGGTAATCTTGTTGGGACTTTAAAATTTAAATTTAGGTTAAACTTATTATACTTATGTATTCGAAATGCAGAGATTATATACAGAACAAGAAAAACTAGGCCAAGAAATAAATAAAAGTTTTTAAACAACTTAAAAAAATTAAGGAAAGAAAAATGTACGAGAGAGTTACAAAAACAGATACTAGATTAATTGTGAAACGACTTTGAAGTTCAAAACACAGAAATTAAAGAAAAGGGTTCAAAAGATGATAAATATTTTACATATATCTAACCTTTACGAACAAATACAAGAAAATGTAAAGAAACGAAAAAGATGAGAAAAGGCAGCAAATATTTGATTTCACGCAAACAAATCCTATGTATCTCTTGATACGTATTTCGACCTAATAGGTCTCGTCAGAAGAGCTATTCATAGGGGTTCTCAACGAGAAAAATCAATATTTTCTGCCTTTTAAGAAGCAAAAATAACATGGCTTCGGTACGGACTCACTAGCGACATCTAATTTAACAATCGTAAAATAGTTTCGAAACACAATTCAGATTTCTGCTTTATAATCTGAGCCTTCTAAGAATTGCAAGGCAAACAGACGTTGATAAAAGATGTTAAAAGATGTTAAAAGATATTGTTGAAATAAAATGAGAAAAGGCAGCAAATATTTGATTTCACGCAAACAAATCCTATGTATCTCTTGATACGTATTTCGACCTAATAGGTCTCGTCGGAAGAGCTATTCATAGGGGTTCTCAACGTGAAAAATCAATATTTTCTGCCTTTTAAGAAGCAACAATATCTTTTAACATCTTTTAACACCTTTTATCAACGTCTGTTTGCCTTGCAATTCGTAGAAGGCTCAGATTATAAAGCAGAAATCTGAATTGTGTTTCGAAA